ACAAATAACAGACAGAAAACATAAAAGGAAATGAGCCGACATGAACGATCGCGTGTTTAATTTGTTTTTGAGGTGGTGACACCTGATTTGGCGGTGCTCAGGACGCAGATGTCTGGAGCGCGTCAACGATCAGAGCTTTGCATGCGCAAACTGGTTAAGATTAGGATGGGGGTGAGGGGAAGGAAAAATTGCAAGAGGGAAAACGTCACAGTTTGGTTAAATGTCCGTTTTACCGCCGGTGTCAGTACCGACGCTCTAGCACAGCGCGTCGCCTCCGCCTCCCGACGCAGGGGCTCGTCACCTGCTGGAGGACTGCATCTTGTCAGTCATTATCACGTGACAGCGACTAGTCGATGACAGGCATAAAAAGTCACTACAGAGCTGTGAAGTTGACTAGTCGACTAGTTCATACAACCCCTAGTGTGTGTGTGTGTGTGTGTCTGCTCTGTCTTCTTGATCCCCAGTGAGTTGTGGCAGTTGGCTGGTTATACTGAGCCAGGATCCTCTGAAGGTTTCTTCCTGTTAAAAGGGAGTTTTCCTCCCCACTGTCACTGCACGCTTGCTTAGTATGAGGATTCCTGTAAAGTCACTGACACTAGTCAGTGACTCAATGCAATTTGCTGGGTTCCTTATATAGGAAACTTTTTTCTGATTGGCTTAATGGATTGACCTGTATTGGAATGTTTATTATGTGAAGTGCCTTGAGACGCCTCTTGTCGTGATTTGGTGCTATATAACTAAACTTGAATTGAATTGAATTGAAATAAGAAATGGGATTTTAACACCAAGTGTTAAAAATGCACATGATTAGTCTGTCAGTAGTGACAAAACACTGACTCGCTATTCTATCTCATTTCTCTTACACCCACCTGCATTCTTGAAGCTTTGCACACTGCATTATGCTATCACATGTTCCTGAATAATCACACACCACATGTGAGGAAAAAAAGGCCCTGGTCAGTCTGAAGTTTTAGAGCTTTTAAATCAAGACAATTGTATGCACAAACATGGGGATAGAGGTTGGTTTCTGTCTGAAATGTTTATTCTCATCAGACTTTGTCCAGTCTAACAAAACTGATGCATTTCATTTGCTCATAATGCTCATTTAAATATTTTACATTTATAAAACACAATTTCACTGCTTAAAGAACCATTTATAAAAGCAACCAGTTTATCAGTCTGATCAAAAACTTCTTTTAATATGAAGTTTTTTCAGTTTTTCAGCATTGTTCGGATTTATTTGCAGTGTTTTAATGTTTTATTGCAGCAGTTAAACGAGGTAGAGGTCCATAATTTGGGCCATTGCTACACCATTAATGGATAATCTAGTACAGATTTGCTCTCTGTGTTTGAGATTATTATCCTGCAAGCAAATAAGTGCACTGATTTATCAACTAAACAGAGCAAATATGAAAAATAAAACCTTCAGAGGAAATAGAAATGGTGAACTGAAGACAAATTAAAAAGCTTGAATTGAATAATTGAGCTGCTATTTATAAAAGAGTGACTAAATAACCAGTGATCACATTTGTTCCAGTTCATTTTATCTATGAAACCCAAAAGATATTGGGGCAGGGGGCATAAGATGTTTGGTCAAGGAGTTGTTCAGGTCGATCAGCTGCTGTTAGGAGTGTGTGTAAGGAAGCTAAGGAACATGCAGGCATTTTTATTTTTCTATGAATCACGATAAGGACTCAAAGCGACGCCTTTCTCTCCACACATCAAGTGTGAAAGCAAAAGGTTTTTGTTGTATGCTCTGGGGGCCTGTTCAGGGAGTCGCCGCAGGCGCAAAGATATTTCACTGATATGGAAGAAAACCTGACGGCTTTGTCCTTTGAGTTCATTTCACATGCAAGAGGGGATTATGTGTAAATGTACCATATAGCGATTCAATGTTATCACTGAAGATTTATGACTAAATGGATAAATTATTACCAGAATTTTCACCCAAATGGTCATTTACCAGGAACTGTGTTGGTCTGTGACTATCATGCTGGTTTATAGTTTCTAGAAGTTGTCATCTCGGACTCGTTAGTCATCATGGGTGTTGTTGTAACTCCCTGACAACTGATACTAGACTTATGTTTATGTTTCAAACAAAATGGAGATGAGAAAAAAAAAGCAAACCAAGGAACTCAATGGATAAAAACTATGTGGGATAAAAACATTACCCTTAAAAGCACCAGCTGAACCATTTTTAGGACTGTGCTGCGTTCAAATATTTCATTTCAGAAATGCAGATGATTACATTACAACACTCAGTTAGCTACGCCAAGATGCAGTTTAGTTACTGTACCATCTCATTTTTTCCTGTATGATATGGACAATGATAGGACGAAGATGAGTCGAACGAAGCAAAAAGTGGTGCATTCAGACCGGTGCCAACCTCAGCTGTTTAATGGAGTTACAGTTAAAACAGAATTTGGCTGAAAGATGCTTTAAAAGATGAGGTCATACATGTACTTTACTGTCTAACAAGTCAACAAAATCTTGAACAATCTGGTATCATTTTGCATTTAATTGAAGCGAATGTTGAATGAAGCGACAAATTGACAAGGACAACATCAATGACAGCGAGGCACGATGCAGGCTGCTTACGTTCAGATCCTAAGGCCGTCTGCTCCTCTAAAATGACAGCAATGATCTTTAGAACAGCATTCTTTTGGCTAACCCAGGGGTCTTCCACGTTGCTCAGTAACTATTTGTCTATACAAACAATTCAAATGTATGATTTCTAAAGCATTAGCCATGGAGTGTTTTGTTCTGTGGAAATGCAGCGGTCAGCTAGAGGAGAAGAACACCGTCCAACTCAATAGAGGAAAAGGAGAACTTTAAGCTTGGTTGAAGTAATTGTCACATCTCAGGTTTTTGCTGGAGCGGGTTGAAGCGGCTGGGATGAGAATCAGCTCCTCTAAATGTGAGACCATGGTCTTGAGTCAGAAAAGGGTAGAATGCCTTCTCCAGGACAGGGAGGTCCTGCCCAAAATTGAGGAGTTTAAGTATCTCTGTCTTGTTCGCAAGTGAGGGAAAATTTTGATTGATAGGCGGATTGGTGCTGCATCTGCACTGATGCAGGCGTATCGGTCTGCCGTGGTGAAGAGAGAGCTGAGCTGATTGGAACGATATACGTTCCAGCACTCACCTATGGTCACAAGCTTTGGGTCAGTTTATCTTTAGAAACCCACCTTACATCATAAATAGACAAACCTGGGTTGAAAGATCCTGATTTGATCCAAACCATCTGACTCCTGCAGTGCAATAGCTGAATGTTCCCCAGTTTGATTCTCGTGTTTTTCACATTTGCAGATGACGCAAGAGTTTCATTACAAGTCTAGTTGATGTCATGTTTTATTGTCATTAGTCCTTTTTGTATTGACCATCAACAGTGAGGCTCAGATGTTTGATTTTAAGCCTTTTAACATTTTCCAACCACCAATCAGTTCACCTGAGGAAACATTTTCTTAAACTGAAACTAACATCTTGCGATGAACCTCCACTCCACCTCCCTCCGTTTTAGATGTTATCTTTACCTTTAAGTCAGCGTGTCAGCTGCTGTGCTATCTCTCCGATCTCTGATAACAACATGTTCTATTCTGAGACGATTGAGAGGAGTTGACTTTGGATGAAGCTGCATGCGAGTGTGTTTCTGTGTCTATCTGGTCTCCCAGTGGCCACTCTATTGGTCTTCTGAGTGGGTGGTCTGTTTCATGAGAGGTGCACTGGAAACTTTATACCAACATGCACACACACAAACACACGCAGAAAAAAGGGAAACTGGGAATCACACCAACGCAGCACAGCAGAGGGTGGAGCGCAGAAGCCTTCTTCCAGATGTGTGACATTAATTTAGTTGATCCAAAAACATGAACCGGTAGCTCCCACTCACTCATCATCATGGCTCTGTATGTACGTGAGACAGTCATTCCGTATCATTTTTGCTCTATTGCAGACTTGTAAACAATCCATGAAAGTGTCTGATTCTTTGTTGAAGAATTAGCAAAACAATAAAAAAAATGAACAAGCAAGAGTTAAAATGAAGCTAAAGGCCTCAACTCCAGAGGAAGAAAACAAGGTGGATGATTTCAAAAAGGGAGAAAAGAACGAAGACGAGAGCAGGTTGTGAGAACTATGTCCACTCTGACCTCCGGAGCAGAGCTCCTGGACTTTCATGTAACACTTCCCAGTGAGGAGCAAAGTTGGACACGGTGTGTGAAAAGGCAAAGAAAGAGAGAAACATGAAATTAAGTTTAAAAAGAGCGGAGGAGGACATGGAGAGGAGATGTAGGAGGACGGAAGCGGTTGATTGGGTCCCCCAAGAGACTCTTTTTGTTTAGCTTGTTCTGTATTTCCCTTCGTTCCGATCTTCTTCCCTCCTGCCTCCTACTTTTCAGACATCTGAGGTAGATTACAACAGAAGACCCTGGGTCACATTTATGACTTAAACCAGGAACATATGGTGCTGCGAGCGCGTTTGAACGTCCATTTCAATGCAGTGGGATTCCCCTCAGGTCCCTCAGTGGTGGTCAGATTTATTTTCTTGTCCATTGTCTCTTGCTGGGATATCAAAGGACTATTGTTTGTTGATCAGCAAGGGTACTGCAGGTTACTTGCAGGTCTTGGATGAGACCTCACCGCCTCTCCTCATGTTGCTTCTTGTTCTGTACTTGTACTGACTTCTTATGTAGAAGTCAGTACTTCGTTCTTTACTTATCCTATGAAAATTCCCAGATTTAAGCTTCCACAGAAACCTTGTTTATACTTTGAGAGATAATCTGTTTTGTTCTGTGCGATTTGTTTTATTCAAGCCTTGACGAGACTTGTTTCAATATCCCTCAGGCACCTTGCTTACTAGCTGCACAGCATGCCTCTGCTTTAATCTAAGCCTCATGGAGAAACCACTAACCGTAGCACATTTTTGCATCATTGCCACATGTGAGCAGGTTATACACAAAGAAAATGAAATCTCATCTCCCATCAATTTCACCACAACAGCACATCTGTAAAAGTGTCGATCGACTTTATTAGCGTCAGTTTCACTCAGTTGAAGAAAAACAACTTTTGTCTTTGGAACGTTTACCATGGAAGAAAAAAATAGAAGCTACAAAAAAGTTGTTGGAAGGACAATATAGAAAACAATGGCATCAAAATAGTTTTGACAAAACCAACAAAAATAAGAAGGCTCAAAATTTTTGGATGCGGGGCACATTTTTCCTATTTCTGCCCTGTTCTTTACAAAATAAAAATGGAACAGAATGTATTTACAGTGCATATATTTACATTAAGGCATTTTTGCTGGGAAAAAGGGACAGTTGATCTGTTACATCCCAGCTTCTACACAATTAAATAAATAGTCAGATTTCCCTTGTTACATACAGTGCTATATTATCTTTATGCTACCTGCAGTGATAAAACAAATACAGTTATAGATTCAGGCTAAATCCCACCATCAAACGCTCAGGTGTATATTAAAGGACAGGTTCACATTTTTATCTCATGTGCTCCATATGTACAGCTTCCATTAAAAGCAGACTGAAACTAAAGACAAATCTTAAAAGATTCAAAAATAATTTGCATTTAAAGTTTCTGATTTTACAGAAAACTGACACTAGGAGGTTATAACTGTTGATTTTTTATTTCGAAATGTATAAATGATATCTTACTGAGCTGCTAAAGGGATATTTGTAAAAGAAAAAATATTCTCATGCACACCAGATGTTCATCCTCTCTTTCCTCAATAGATTCTTTTTATGCTGGTGTGTTTGCCAATGTTGTCTCTCTTTTTTTTGGATCCATTGATTACCATTTTCTTTTTCATTTTTATTCATTTTTTCTAAAAATTTCTACATTTTTCCTCTCACTTTTTATTATTTTTTTATCTTTTTTTTTGTGAAGCACCTCTAGATTTTTATCTTGAGGTGCTTCACAAAATATTGTTTCTTCTTCTTCATATAGTATCCCACACAAAATACTGTCTGGTAATCATGAGATATTATCAAGTGCACACAAGATAAAAAATCCAGTGTGCATGAGATAACCCTCTGTGCTCACGAAATGATATGCAGTGCTCACGAGATAATTTCCAGTGCTCGTGAGATGATATCTGGTGTTCGTAAAATAATATTCAGTGCTCGCTAGATACTATCTGGTTCTCACATCCGGTGCTCACAAGATAATATCTGGTGTTCATGAGATAATTTTCATTGTTCGCGAGATCATTTTCCAGTGATCGCAGGACAATATCTGGTACTCACATCCAGTGCTCACGAGACAATTTCTCGTGCTCCCGAAATAATGTCCGGTGCTCACAAGATAACAGCTGGTGCTCACGAGAGTTTCCAGTGCTAGCGAGATGATATTTGCTGCTCACATTTGGTGCTTACGAGATAATATTTGGTGCTCACAAGAAACTGTTTTCTTTTTAAACCAATGTCCCTTTAGTGGCTCAGTAACATCTTAATGAATGTGTGTTACATATGATGTTTAATTCTGCTTTATTTATATAGCATAACATTTTTCAAGAAACATTTTTAGTTGTATTTTTTTGTCTTTAAAATGTTTTCCTAGAGAAATTTCAGTGCAAGAGATGAGGAATAAAGTCAAGGTTCTCTAGAAATGTGAGCTCAAATTCTACGAGTCGGCAATAAAATAAACAAAAACAAAAAATCACAAAAATAAAGTAAATCTGTCCTTTAACTGAGCATGTTTGAGAGGCTGATTGAGCCATTTTGCTAGTTTGCTGTTTACAAAGTCAAGAGGCTGAAACCAATCTTGTAGAAAAGACGGACTGAGACTTTAGTAGAAAAGGTTCCACGTGATGTTGGGATGTCTGTGTGGTGGCCAGAGCTGAGCTGTTATATTACAATGAAGACGGTCAGTTTAAAAATTTTAAAGTTGTTTTTTCCCCTCAAATTGAGTCTTGAACAAGAAATAAAAACAGCACCATGTGTGTTTACGAGAGCCGATCACTCTGAATACAGCTCTGGTACCACAGAACAGAAACACATCAACTAGAGAAGGAGGCACTTCATAAGAGGATGATGATGATGATGATGATGATGATGATGATGATGATGATGACACTTTGGTTAAAAGGAAGTAAAACATCAGATGGCACATCTGCATGAGTATCACTGATTCTAACTTGTGCATCAAATACTAACCGACTGATCTCCAAGCTCGCTTACACTTCTCTGGTTAGAAATCCATCTAACACGCAGCCTAAATAATTGATCATCTAATTGTTCTTTACCATCCACCCATGTCCCTGTGTTACTCAGTCATCCGCAGATCTCCCCCTCTCTATAAAATATCTTTCAGTCTCTATCTCCACCCACCCCCTTCTCTCACTTTTCTTCCTGCTTCATCTTCCGTGTCTCAAGAGTATAAATGCTTTCAATATTTAATATCTGAACAGCAATGACGTGGCGTTCGCAAAGAATCAGTCCAGTAGTGATAACCGTCGTTCCAGTGGTGCATGAGATTCAAAAATAAAATCTAACAAAACAAAAAATGGGGGATGAGTAAGAATGAGTTCTAGTGCAAACCTAAGGATTTTGTTAAAAACAATCTGGATGTTCCAGTTATATAAACAAAATAACCAATGAGTAAACAAAGAATTTGTTTTAAGAAATTCTACAATGTGACAAAAACCGATGGTTTTGCTTTTATAGTCTTTCGTTCCATTCGATTCAAGAGTCCAAATGAACAGGAAACATCTTTAGGAGCTACAGTTTGCTTTACCTTATGGCGTGTTTTCTTTGCATTTGTCCAAAGAAATCTAAAGCAAGTTTAATTTGGAGGTTATTAGGCCAGACTTTAGCCACTATCTTCCTACTTTTTAACCTCCTAAATGTCCCACTCTGGGCTAAGAGCCACACGTTTGTTAGGCTATCGTTCTGTTGTAGGATGCAACAGCAGCACCAGGAGGAGCTCTGAAGTCAGTAAAAGTCACTCTGCATCACACAGCTTCATGTTTGTCAGGATGGAGCTTGTATGGCACACCACTGGTGTGTGTGTGTGTGTGTGTGTGTGTGTAAATATTGCTAGTTCTGGTGCCTCTTCATGTGCAGGGCGAGGTGGTCGGATCTGGAGAAAGAGCGGGAGCAGACGGCACACTGAAAGGGTTTGGCGCCGGTGTGTTTTCGGTAGTGACGCGTCAGCTCGTCCGAACGGGCGAATCGCCAGTCGCAGCTGTCCCACGTACACCTGTAGGGCTTCTCACCTGCAGGATGAGGAGAACATAACCAGTGAGTTCCCTGATGAGCTGAACCTCTTCACCAAAGCACCAAACAGAGCTGTGTTTGTGTGCACACACTCTTTATGAAAACAAACTAATTCACTGACTTAAGTGATTCATACAGTCAGGTGGAGAAACTAGGAAAACAGGCTTTGCTGAAGATTCCAGTTGTCTGACAGCATATACAGTCATAACACTGTCACTCACAGGCATTTATCAATGCAACACTAATACTGTGCAAGTTTCTCACGGCTGGCTGGTCTGTATTGTCTGTCTTTGCTTCTGGCATCTGGCTGGTTTCTTTGATGGCTTTAGACTGTTTGTCTGTCACTCTGTCAATCCACGCCTCCAGCTGCAGGCGTTCTGTTAAACTAGTGTGACCTCCCTCTTTGAGGGACACCACTACTAACCAAGACCTGAAGTGCAACTTTTTAAACAAACACCTGTTTCAGTTTACTGGACAAAAATACAATGTGATCTCATCTTCTTGTTTGATTATTTTACTATCACCTTCCAGGACATGGGCTGTGTTTCATTAAGAAGCAGGCCTGGTAATATTAATTATTTAATAAACATAAACATAAATTCAACAAAAACATCATCCCTTCTTTTTAATAGAGATCAAGTAGAAACAGAATAAAAATATCCAGAAATGTGTGACCAGGATTTTTAAATCATGCATTTCTTTAGAGTAAATCTCAAGATTAAACATTCTTTAATTAAAAAAAGACAACACACACACACACATGCATGCATGAATGTACCCACACATATTAGAATAAAAGCTCATAAGGAGATCAGCATATTTAGCATGACCACAGCAAAAAACAACAACAGCCAGTTTAACAGTCCCAATAGAGCACGGCAGTGGTAGTGCCATGATTTGGAACTGCAAAAAGATGCTGAAGAGATTATATTTGAAGAGTTAATTTTGAAAAAGAGATATCCCCAATGAGAACAGTAAAAAGCTTGATCTGGCTTCAACCTGACTTCACACCATTAAGGTGGTATTTTACAGAAAACACTAAGCGCTCAAGCAAAGGGCGGCTAAAAACAACAAGTTTGTGAAGGATGAATATCTCTCCAAAGATCTGAGCAACAATGGCATTCCCCAAACTTAGGATGATTGAGCTGCACAAGAACAAATTAAGAGAAAAGTTAGAAAAGATTTGAATCTCACGAGTCCCGGTTCAATTAGATTCTAGTTTTAAGCATAGATTAGAAAATCCTCCAATAGGCCGATCCGGTCCAGTCTGGATTTACAGATGGAGTGCATTTGTTGTAAACATGAACAAACTTTGTTTTGTTGTTTTTTGTTTGTTTTACTTCAACCTTTTTTCTAAATGAACACAAGTTTCACTAAAACAACCATAAAAATATGTAACTGAATAAATAATAATTGCCAAACTAAAAAACACACCTGAAATTGAATGCAATAAGAGGAGACAGTAAAAACACAGAAAATAAAGAAAAGGGGAAGAGTGAATTAAACAGAAACACACACACACACACACACACACACACACACACAAACACACACACACACAATCAGGGTAATGGATGTTGATGGAGATTAGAGTGGGAACTCCCACTGGGACCCAAACGCATTAGGAATCATCTCATACAGATTACAGACAGGTGTGTGAGGAAGTGTGTTTGTGTGTGCCAGTGTGAATAAGACAAATAGAATGAGTAACAAAGACGGAAATAAAAATAAAAAAATAAGGGGGGGGGGGGGTACAACTGAAGGTAGAAGCATGACACAAAAAAGGAAAGGATGATTAGATGAATGAAAGGGATCGAGGGAAGAAAAATCACTGAGTAGAGCTGCAAGAACAGAGGATATGTAGCTGCTGCTGCTATACAACCATTTCCATGTTGTACTCTCATCCTGTGGTCTGTAATAACTGCAATGACCACAATCAGCCCGCGGCATGAATGATACCAGATCTAATTGTCGTGTCATGTTCTCAATCCTGAAGTGCACTGAACACAAACAGCGACGTCCCTGAACAAGTTGTTCAGATTCATAAAAAAGAACAAAACACACAATTCAAAGAGAGAAGAGAGAGTTTATGTGTACTTCAAGATGAGTGAGGAATGTGTGGATATCAACAGAAGCTTTGTTTTGATAGCTGGAGTGAGGTGGGGCCCAACACCTAAGCACTTGTTTGTTGACTTTACTCCTCCAAATGGTTCAAATATAAATGTGGAAGGAGGACACAGAGATAAAAGGTAAACGAAGATGAAAGAGAAAAGAGAGCTTCAAGTCAAAACAACGAACCTTGAAACAAGACGAGCTCATATGTTTGCATCTGCAGTAAACATAATGATAAAAGCATAAAAAGTAAAATAAAATAAAATCTAATTCCAGAAAAGCATTTTTTTTTAAATCTGGTAACATGACTCTGAGAAAGGTGGCACCACATGTCTTGAGCTGACCACATAGTCTGAGAGTCATCTCCTGGCACAAGTGTGTCACTTCCACCTGTTTTGATGGAATAGTATATTGGGCAGAGGATGGGAATGGGGATACATTTACACACACATGCCAAGAACACAGCTCTCTGCCTAGTAACACGGTGCCAGTGCAGATACTGAAATCCGAGTCCGGTGGGCAATGTCTTTTTCTTTTTACTTTGATTTCAGGAAGATCTTACCCGTGTGTGTCCTGAGGTGGGCTTTCAGATGAGACGACTTGGTGTAGACCTTCTTGCAGCCTGAGGACAGACGTGGAGATAAACACAAACAGCTTAGACCAAATAATCTGCATGTGTCAGATATGCATTTACCCAATAAACCGAGCTGTGGTATGCAAGAAATTCAAACTAATGAAACACAGAAGCTCCCTGGAATGAAAAGCAGTAAACGGTTCGTAGAAACTCAAAAAACGGGGACGCCTGCGCTCAAAGCGTTTAGCTTTAAAAAATTTCTGACCGAGTCCCCTGACTGACTCAATTCTGCATGTCAGAGTACTAGTAAAGATACTTGTGTGAAAGGTGGATTTGTGGAAATGATGGATCTGCTTCTTCTCACTATGAAAGGAAAAAAAAGTTAGACGTGTGCAAGCACGATCCAGGAGCTCGCCCTAAGCCCGTTTTACATGCTGCCACAGGCTAGTTACCACTGCATGTTCTACAAGTAGCTGCACATCGAACAGTCATGGGTTGTGTGCAAAGCATTATTATTTTTTTAATTTACAATAAAAAATCGTTTGATCTGAGATTGCTATCTAATGTTAAATGCAAATGAGTGTGGGGGAAAAAAACAGATAAAAGTGACCAAATGATCTTTCATTACACAATCATTCCTGTGATGATTTAGACACCACAAGAGTGTGTGGGAGCTCCGGGCTGCGAGTGACACAAGCGTTTCTGGAGCAGTGATAAATGCGAAGTACTTTTCAGACCTTATGGTTAAGTTAAGTCTAGTGTTCAGACAATATTATAATATTGCAATTACAGTAGAGCGTGCTACAGGCACGGTAACCCAGGAGTCTGGGAAAGTTGCTCAAAACAAAACATGTAATTTCAAAAAAATGCATGGGAGTCTTGAAATGAATCTGGCTGCTGTAATGCTGACCTTTCTGAGTGACCAAATGTCAACCTGACCACAGTGCAGACGTAAATGAAGAGCAACACACACACTACAGCAGAAACTATCAGCATACACACACACAGCAGCAGTGGCAGGTGTGTGTCGTTTCCTCTAACCTGGGTAATCACAGTGGTGGATCCGGCGCTTCTCCAAGTCTGGATTGTTCCTCCGATTGTAGCGGACAGGCCCGGGGTTCTGCGTTGTGGCTGCTGCCGAGACTTGAGGAAGGACGGGAGCTGGACCTTGGGGTGGCGCGGGACCTGCAGAGACGGACAGGGCGAAAGCGCCGGGACCCTGGCCGGGTCCGAGTCCCGGGGAGGTGCCTGCCAGCTTGGATGCGATAGTGGCTGCATATGATGGCGGAGGGGACATGGTGTGGAGCAGCTCCTTCTGCCTGTCGGGGCTGCCCGGCTCAGAATTTGGCGGAGAGGGCGGTAGGTAGGGGACCTGCTGCTGCAGGAATTGGTGGTGTGGCTGATTGTGGGTATGCGTGTACGCCCCACCACCAAGACTGCAGTAAGGGGGCTTCTGCTCTCGTTGGGAAGAAGCAGCTCCTGGCAGATCTTGGAAAGGAGTGGGCTGGATCTCTTGCTGCTGAGCTTCCATACCAGTGCTGTGGTGATGGTCCAAGCCAGAGTTCAGGAGATGAAAAAGCGAGCCGCTGTTATCATGGTGGAGACCATGCTGCTCGAACTGGGACATTTCCTGTTTGACAAACACTTCTGGCATTGAGTCGTCACCGTGGCCTCCTCCTGACTGGTTAAAAACACTGATGAAGTCTGGTAACCCCGTTAATGTCATGTTCATGGCTGAGGTTTCCATGGTGATATTGCCAGGGCCATGCCTGGATGTGCTGCAGCTACCTGTGGGTGTATTGTTGGGGCAGTGAGGTTGTAAGTTGTGGGAGAAACACGAGGACACAGTTTCGGTTTTGATTTGTGTGAGGCCAGCGTGACTCTGGTGGCGAGGGGGCCGCGCCTGCTCACAGGAGCCCATCCGCTGATAGGACACATCTGGGAGGTAAAGATTCATGTTGAGGGTGTAGGGTGCCCCGTTGTGATCATCGCCGAAGAACTGATCCACTGCAGACGTGCCATCTCTGTGCGACTTGTGCTGGCTGGCTGCATGAAGTGGAAAGGAAGGAGGCTGAGGGGACAGATACCTGTCCATCTCACACTTTACCTGAGGAGAAAAAAAAATCATAACTCAAACCTAATAAAACTCAAGTTGCACTTGCAACAAGCTCATGGGAGCATTTAGTGGAGACAAAAGTTTGATAGGATAGTCACGGCTAAAACATTTATCAAGTAGTCATCAATAGGCAGCTGCAACATTCCCTTCCTGCCTGTCAAGCTGAACCCAGGAACCTTCCCTCCAACTGTTAGCAGACATCACCACAGTTTGTTGTAAATAAAGACCTAAATCCTGCACACAAAACAGGTATTTTGCAGCTATTTTTCAATCCAGCACTGCATAAGAGCCGTTTTTTCATTCTATACTATAAAAGTTAGATAAGCCCTGCAGCAAAGGATGAAACAGCATCATGAAAGGCAGCGGGGAAACACCCATGTCTCCCTGTCCTCTGCAGCAGCAACAGCAGTCTGGGGATGGGCTGCTATTTGAGGCTTCTGATCCTACCAGCTGTTTAACTGACTTCTATCCTCTGATGCACAAGTTTCCTTCCAACTGGGGACAGAAGTTGCCGGGACATTTCTGTCCGAAGCTGGAGTCAGTTGTCGTCAGCGTGGTATGATGGTGTGAGCGCGCGTCAAAGGGGGAGCCCAACAACTGGTGACCAACTGGCAGTGCTGGCACACAAAACATGCGGTGAATGCACGCAGGACTCACCGGGCGCGCATCCAGCCGTTTATTTTATAGCCGAAAACAGTGTTGCAATTGCGTTTTAAAAAAAATCTAGTGAAGATCAACATCACGCAGCGACGCCCGAGATGGATTTTGGAGGCCAGCGAAGCAACAACCTGATCCCAAGCCTGTCTGCCACGCCCATTCAAAGAAACAGCATGTGAAACTGATTTTTGACATCTTTACCTGTGTGTACTCATTCTGCTCGGCCTTCTCCGTGTCGGATATCTTGCAGTCCAAGCCGAACAGCGCCGAGTCCTCCAGAGAGAATCCAGCGGGCATAGCCGCCTTCTGCAGCGGATAGAAGGGGTCCTCCTGCCCGCGGCTCATCGTCAGTGTTGCTGCCATGAAGCTCCGACGCAGCAAGCCTGAAACGGTCGATTCTCTCTCTCTCTCTGGTCCTCTCAAGCAGGAAGCAGGATCAGGCTGCCACGGTGAACAGAGGAAAGAGACCCGAAGAGGCGCGGTGCGTGTCGCGGAGTAATTAATGTGTGCCTGTCGGCAACATCTCCTTCCACTTGTTCCATCCCTCCGGCCCGCAGACAGTTTTCTATCTTCCCATGCAGGGCGGAGCGGCCCAGTGTAAATACAGAGCACGCGCCGCCCACTGGAAACCGTCAAAACGCTTTGATTATTCATTCACCGGCCACCGCCCTGCGCTCCCATCTAAATACATTAACAGCCTCGTAAAGTGCGCACGAGAGGCCGGAAAACATCGGGGGCTCCTGCTAAAACACTTTCCCCCGTTTTCTCACGCAACTTTGAGCAAAAACACAAAATTACTTATGTATTTTTTACTTGCATTATTATTTTACCGCAACATAAACATAGAAATATCAACAATCTTGGCATAAATAATTTGTTCAGCCATTTGCGTTGCAGCTTGTAAATTTAGGGTTGAATGTGGCTGTTTAGAATCCAAATATTATTAAATATTCTAGTTTTATTTTCAATTTACATAATAAATAAATGTGTCATGGCTATCATGAACGGAATTATGTGATAATGTTTGTTGAACAGCCTCAGCTCAGATATTGAGATTATTATAAGCTAATGAAATGGGGCCATAAGATGTCTGAAAAACTCTATTCTAAAAAATGTTTAAGTAGTTTATGCAAATGTTATTTGTTGAAATTTCATTATTCCAGAATTGTTATGAAAATCCAGAAAGAAATGCTACAGAAGTTTCACAGCTAATAATAGAGAAAAAAAGCCCTGAGAATTCTGTATATATGTGGTGTGAAATAAAATTGGAATGAATTGCTATAATTTGTCTTTACAGTTTTTGTAAGCAACGCTAAAGAGTTTGTAATACTTTAAGCTATTGCTGTTAAACTGGTTTCAGTGGTTCTTAAGCCAGAAACTTGAGCAACATCACATTGGACAGCACTTTGTAAGTTTCTGCTGACCAGGAACTGCATCTCAATACGTGTGGAAACCTGCTTTATGGCAACAGCTGTTTACTGTTCCGTAAGCTCATATGGCTAGCAGTTGGTTTTTCAGTAATAGGAAGAAATTTGCTGTTTTTGTTGGCATTAAGCCTGGAAATAAAAGTAAGAGAGTGATGTCTTTGGAGGCAATGCAAAAAACTAAAACCAAACATCGGTGCAGCCTACATTTGTTTGGGTGAGCTAAAGGAGGTTACAAAATCACGAACTGATGGTGACCTGGCTTTGTTGCTACTGGACTTTTAAGTAATAATATTTTTCGTCCAACTGTGTGGGTCATTTTACTTTGTGGTTTATTATAGTATTAGCCGGCTCATGTTAGTGTTAGCTCATTGTTAGCGCTACCTACAGCAGGGTTGTTTACGACAGTTGTAATTCCAATTTCAACCAGTAGGGTGGAGGAGTACACTGGCCCAAATTTAACCGTTTGTTAGTTTGTCTGTTCTATCAGAACAACCCTGTTTCACTAACAGAGGCTGTATGAAGTGTTATCTACAACAAGTAAGATATTGTTTGACCTTCCCACAAAAGCCCACTTTAAGAGATACAATAAATCAATTTTAAACTGTAGAAAATAGGTTAAGATAAAAAATTTTATGTCAAAAGTGAATAGGCGTACAGTTTGGTTAAACATTTACATATGTACTTGCACATTTATCAATATTCCCCTATTTTAGTATCACAGTTTCTAAACACTAGCCAATATTCTTCTTTATAACTGACAACGTCCATCCAGTTTTATTTAGTTCATTCTGTCATGAATTTCAAATTATTTGTTATGTGAAATTGACAAAAAGTAAAACTAAAACAATCTAATTTTTTGTAAATTCAAGGAATATTTGAGCACAATAGCAGTTTATGTTATTAAACCAAATTTTTTTCTAATTGAAAAAGAACAACCCAGCTTTCTAGTGGCCATGTGGTAGAGTTTAATACGACACCAATAAGAACATGAACTTAAATGATAAAGGTATGCCTACTATGTCTATATTTAAAGCCAAAGAGCTTCAGCTCATGCAAATCAAAGTGTAAGGTTTCCGCGGTGTTGTTTGTCTGTAGCAACCACTATGTGTAGACAAAAAGACGAGGAAATAATGATAGACAGACCCAATAAAATAGACCACTGGCAGGAAAAAGGAATGCTTGGGCAGCCAGTAAAGAGGGAATGTGGATGGTAATACCGCTGACTTTAGACTAACAGAGAAAAATTGATCTGCTGAGGAAAATTCACACAAAAGTGAAGACAAACTAAAACGGTTTTGCTTTCATATTTGAAAGGTTCTTTAAATGCACGCACACACACACACACACACACACACACACACACACACACACACACACACACACACACACACACACACACACACACAAGATTTTAAAATAAATTACAGGATAAGCACAGACGGAAATGGTTATTTGGGTTTCTGTTTTAGCCTTTGGTACCAATCAGGAACGTCGCTTTTGGTCTGCAAACAGAACAAACCAGAGAATTAAAAATTAGACGACAGGAGTGATCCACATCTATTCGCTCAGATGAGAAGACATTCATCATTTCTGGTCAACCTCTAGTGTTCCTCTCTTTGTGTGATCTTTTGTCCCAGAAGGTTAAGTCGGTATGACTCATAACAGGGTGTTGCTGACACTTACAAACACAGTAGGTTTGGGCTTGTTAGGCGATTCCTCCTCCACAGTGCGGCCAACACGTTTGGATCGCTGCTTTCCTGTTTCTGAAGTCTTTGCACCACCTTTTTCTGTTTCAAACCGATTCAGAGCGTCGCTTTGTCCGGACCGCATGCCGATCAGGACCTGCTTCATCACTGCCAACTCCTTGTGAATCAAACATTTTAATAAAACAAGAAACGCAGAAACAAGGAAAAATCAATAAATAGGAGAAACAACCTGGAGACAAATTCTGTTTTTAAAGCCCTCCCCCAAAGACATTTCTTTTAACATTCATACTTTAAATAAATCAGGATTCTTATCAGTATTTGCTTTAAAATGCTTGTTCTTACGATTCTTATCAGAAAATGTGAAGAAAAGTTCAACAAGCTCAAGGGTCTACAGAGGTGGTAGCAGCAGAACCGTTTTACGGTTCTATTTATCACATCTGAGGACATGAGCCCCGGCATGTCCCACACACACACGCACGCACACACACACACACACACACACACACACACACACACACACACACACACACACACTAATGGCATCCCAAACAGCCAAGCTGAGCAACAGCTGTCTGTGACAGTGCACATACTTTATAACGCAAATGGCTGACTTGGGGACACACTCCTGAATATGTGTGTGTGTGTGTGTGTGTGTGTGTGTGTGTGTGTGTGTGTGTGTGTGTGTGTGTGTGTGTGTGTGTGTGTGTGTGTGTGTGTGTGTGTGTGCCACCACATATTCACTCAGTCTCAGAGGAAGCATTGCCACGCAGTGCAATAACGTGATAACAACATTATTAGTGGAGCTTATCAATTAGCTGATACCAACAAACCAGAATGCTGACCCATTTTATCATTTTTTTTTTATCTTGCCGTTCCACACAGACCTAACAGTTTGATAGAACGAATAAAAGTTGTTGGTAAAAAAATGTTTTAGCATTCAGATACAGAACAGTATCATGAAGTTCACACTGCCCGTTTCTCATCTAGATGACACATTAGAGAACAACTCAAGTCTTAAAGTTTCACAAAAGAAAATATTTCATAGAAAGGTGGGTCTGTTCAGAACCGTACAGAGGAGCTACATAAAAGGTTTTCCAGATTAAACCATCGCTAAAGCAGATTGCCACCATTTTGACCCATGGATGCACCAGAAGTTCTACCTTTAGCTACTGCTGGTGACGTTTACACCCAACCACATAAATCTATGTAACAAACACTGAAATGCAAAATTATTAGTGCTGTAAAGCTTTGTTTAATAAATGTGAACAAACCACTCAAATACATTAGAGATTAAAGAAACTGGTCTTGGTTGTGCTAGAACTAGCCATTAGCTCAACAGGTTGACAAACGTTGGTGCTATTTCTCTGAACAAAGGCTGTTCAGCAAGCTATTTACTGTGAATTAAAATAGTATTTATTCACAACTTCATTAAATTTCATATGGCAAACAATTAGAAATGTTTAGCTACCAATATGACATTTTATGTTATCAAATATTCATTTGTAAAGGATTTTTACTTATGAGATGCATACACTTGAAATAAACCTATACGCAACATGGATCATGAATATATTAAATGTAAAAATGAACGTGTACCTCTCTGTTGTTGAGAAGTCGCTCCAGGTCGGCTGCCATGTCGTTTTTTACCTGCTGCAGAGCATTACGCTCTTTCCTCAGAGAGCTGGGGTCACATGAGAAGACAGGTGGGCATCAGATCTCGAGTAAACATGCTGATATACAGCAAGTTATTGCTATACTATTGTAGGATGGGATTTTGCGAAGCCTAGCGCTCAGATTCACGGCTCGGTGATTTACGGGATTCTTTAAAAGGGAACACACAGCAGATGTGTGCATAGTTTATTAAAATGTGTTCAATTATTCGGATGGCTGAAACCTGGGCACGGTCAACACAGGACTGAGTGTGATGTTGTATGGAAAGATGGAAATCGCTCATTTGTCTGCACACACAGGAAAGGAAAAAAACAAATACCGGCGCGCACATCAACTAGTCCATCCAAAATAATTACTTAAAGAAAAATAGAAACAACTAATGCAGATTATAAAAACACATTTATTTCTAAAATAAAAAAAGTAAAATGATAGTACCATTAAAGTGCTCACGGGACGTAAAACAAGACGGGACTTGTGCCGCTGACTTAAAAGTGAAACGTCTCGAATAAATCTTAAAAATACAGACAGCCTCATTTTGGTTCACTGAGAAAACTGGGGGAAAAAAAAAAAAGATTTAAACATCTCCAATCAGAAACACTTCTAAGCAGGGACTGACAGTCTCCTGTTTCTGCTAGCAACAGTCCTGCACAGCCACGGGGAAGCTTTGGTATTCCTGACACACGTAAGAAGGTTTGAGACGCAAGGATTTTTTCCCCCTTGCCCCCGCTTGCCTCAGGTGAGCGCTCTGTGGTAGTGAGTAGCAAGAGAAAACCTGCAATCTGTCAGTTTGCATATTTGTCAAGAAGTGGAAAACAGAGATATAGGTCAGTGCAATGCAGCTGGATGTGAGCTGATGTGAAACAGGGAAAAAAAAAAAAGACAAAATCAAGATATTAACTGGCTAAATGGACGGTGTGTACCTGACGTCGTCCTCAAGAGAGGAGACGCGCTCCTTCAGCCGGCTGATCTGTGCGTCTCGTTCTCTCACCGTCTCGATCATAAAGCTGTACGGCTGCTGCGTCTGCTGCAACAGCTGGTTGGCGGCAGACAGCTGGAGACAAAACCACACATGTTGGGATGTTACAAGGTCTGATATTAGCAGTTTTAATATAATCTTCCAGTCATCATTATAAACGATCATAATAGCTTAGTGAAAAAATAGGTCAATAACTTTTCCTCACATGAAAATGGTTCTCTTATTACATCACAGGCAGCAGGAACCACCATAAAAGGGAAATTTCAGCCATTTTTAGGTATGTTGTTGAGTGACGGATAAAATTATTGTTTTCCATAGTAGAAAGCTTCCTGAAGGGCCTGCATGACAAAGCTGTACACTTCCTTCAAGACTGATGAGCTAATCGTGTATTGCTGCTGCCTAAAAACAGCTCAGATTTCCACTATTTCATGGAAGTTCATGCAAACCTTGTTTAACCTTTATTCTCTTCACACACCAAATAATTTTACTTTAAACATTTAAATTTTGTAGTTTAATGCTAAAAATGGATCTTGAATGCACCAGAAGGGCTATGTTATGTTGGTACTCGTCTTGGTAATTAAAAAAAATTCTATCATGATATAAATTTACAGATCAATCAATATCGATATATATCACTATATAACACATTTCACTATTTTTGTCAATCTTTAATGTCCTCTTGAAGATATCCGTAGGTTATTTTTGATTTGAAGGTTTATTTTCAAAGGTTGAACATGTCATCAAACATTAGGTAAATATTTTGGATAAATAAGAGGTTAATATTAGGCTAAAGTCTTCGAGCATTGGAAGAGAACAGAACTCAGTCAAATGGGGCCTAACATATAAATTCTCAAAAAGTCTCCGCTTGTTTTCAGTATAGTTTCTTTAAGAAAAAGTAATAAACAAAGTTTTCTATCAGTGAAAATTTAGGCAACTTAAAAAAAAATTCAAACAATGAAAATAAATAAATAAATAACTATGGGCTGTTGGGTCCCTTTATGACCGGTGTCAGAGCTTGGTCCACATTGCCGGCAGTAAGTCGGGCTCATTCCCGGTGAGAGTTTGACTCCTCCAAGGCTGCTCTTTGTCACCGATTCTGTTCATAACACTTATGGACAGGATTTCTAGGCACAGCCAAGGTGTGGAGGGTATCTGTTTTGGTGACCAAAGGATTGAGTCTCTGCTTTTTGCAGATGATGTGGTCCTGTTGGCTTCATCAGAACATGATCTCCAGCTCACACTGGAGTCGTTTACAGCCGAGTGTGAAGCAGCTGGGATGAGAATCAGCTCCTCTAAATCCGAGACCATGGTCTTGAGTCAGAAAAGGGTAGAATGCCTTCTCCAGGTCAGGGACGAGGTCCTGACCCAAGTGGAGGAGTTTAAGTATCTTGGGGTCTTGTTCATCAGTGAGGGAAAGCTGGAGCGTGAGATCGATAGGTGGATTGGTGCTGCGTCTGCAGTACTGTGGTCAATTCAAGTCAAAGATACTTTATTAATCCCAGAGGGAAATAGAGTTTCAGTACACACAATTCTGAGATGAGACATACATAGGCATAGACACATGACAAGAATTGGTGACTGTGATCATTCGTAACCCCCCGAGTTCAATCAATCAATCAAAGCTTTATTTATAAAGCGCCTTCCGCAACCCTGTCAGGAAGCCCAAAGCGCTGAACATGGTTCAGTTGAAGGTAAATATATTGAATAAATCAAAAATAAAAGCAATTCAAATTACAAAATACAAGTTACAAAATAGGTGAAACATTCTGGTACAGGACAAATGTGTAAAACAATGGATAGAGTGAACCAATGAAAACTGTGAAATAAATTCAACATAAAAGAGGGACAAAATCAAACATGTTCTGGAAACGCCAAGCGGAGGAGGTGTGTTTTTAGGCGACTCTTGAAGACTGGCAGAGATGGGGACAGCCTAACTGAGGGTGGCAACTGGTTCCAGAGTGACGGTGATAGGACTGAGAAAGCCCGACCCCCGCGAGTACGACACCTAGAACGAGGGACAGCGAGCAGGCCTCGGTCAGAGGAGCGCAGAGCGCGTGATGGGGAGCGTCTGTTCAGGAGTGTGGCCAGATAGGGGGGACCACCACCCTGGAAGAAATGATAAACAAAGACGAGGATTTTGAATTGTGAGCGATAGCAAACCGGAAGCCAGTGCAGAGAGGCCAGAACCGGAGCAGACCCTTTGATCCCAACCCATCGTTCCAAGCGATCGAGTAGAATCGCGTGGTCAACTGTGTCGAAGGCTGCTGTCGGGTCTAACAACAGAAGCACCACAGATGTACCCTGATCTAGTGATAGATAGATGTCATTTAGGACCCTCAGTAGAGCTGACTCTGTGCTATGGCCAGACCTGAACCCTGATTGAAAAACCTCGAACAGATCAGTCAGCTAAATGTGAGACCAGCTGCTGATAAACGACTTTCTCAAGTAGTTTTGATGTAAAAGGCATGGTAGAGATAGGCCTGTAATTTGCGATCACAGAGACATCAGCACCAGGTTTCTTCAGGGTTGGTCGAATAACTGCTGCTTTCAAAGCAGCTGGGACAACACCTGTGCTGAGGCTCCCATTGATAATCTGACCAAGTGATGGGCCAAGACACGGAAAGGCAGCCTTCCAGAGACGAGGCGGCAGAACGTCAAGTGGAGAGCCAGATGGCTTCTGTCTCGCAACAAGCGTACTCAGCTCAGAGTATGAAACAGTATTGAGGGAGCTCAGGGTGGGTGGTGATGGAGGAACTGGAACAGGGTCAATAGAGGTGCGCTACCTTAATGAAGATCAGAGGGTTTACATGAGGATTGGGTCAGGTGGAGGAAAAAAAGGCACTTCAGAGTTACCCTCCACAGGGAGGGCAGCTTTGCTATGCAAAAAACGCCTCAGACATTACACAACATAAGTGTCCACTAGGTGGGGAGGTAGGGTTGGGGAATATCCTCACATCAGCGCATGCAGCCACAATAAGCAACGCTCGTCACCTCTGTTTGGACAGGGGAAGGAGGTATTTGGGCTAGAGAGCACAGTGACTCCTGGAAATGATTCAACGACCTTCACCGGTCGCAGTCCCGCCCAGGCTGGGATAGGGAGACAGAGTTACCATGGCGACGGCAGCATTCCACATTTCTTCTGAGGGGAAGTAATCACTTCAGCCTCACAGGCTCAAGGGCACCAGATTCAGAAAAGAACTTGTTTTGGGGCCAGACAGAGATAATTTCCTCTGTCTTAAATTTCTGTTGATCTCCAACCCCTCTGAATTCAATAATGGCGTAGATTAATCTATCCCAATCCATGTTGATCCGTCAACTCTATCCTTGATGGTATCAACCTTTTGTGCCAGAGTCTGAATCTCAGCCAAAGTTCCAAGCTTACAACTCATCTCGACAATTATATGAGTTTGTGCGTTCACAGCGCGGTGGAATCCATCCCTGAGCTCCAGGATTGAGCCAATATTCCTCGACAGCTCATTAATTTTCCGGTATGCCAGGTAACCCTCAGGCCAAACAGCACAAAACCTGACACCAACACCACGAATATCCAGACGTCTTCAGAATCCTCTACAGACAGTTGAGAGAGGCAGATCAGGTTCCGCTGTTTCCAGGAGTCCATGATATGCCCAGCTGGCTCTGTCCTAGAGGGGCAACCGGAAGCCCCTTCTCCCATTCTCATCGTTGAAAAATTTTTGTCAATCGTGTTGAGAGACCAACTGACCAGGTCTATTTTAATAATTTCCAGTTTCCAGAAAAAATGCAGAAGCACCGTACACCCAAAGACAGACAAAGAGCCTTGGGATAAGATAGGGAGGAGAGGAGGAAAAAAGCGTCTGTACTCTCCAAGAGCCGTATCTGTTGTGGTGAAGAGAGCTGAGCTGGAAGGCAAAGCTCTCAATTTACCGGTCGATCTACGGTCCTACCCTCACCTATGGTCATGAGCTTTGGGTAGTGACCGAAAGAACTAGATCACGGATACAAGCAGCCGAAATAAGTTTTCTCCGCAGAGTGGCTGGGCTAGGGTGAGAAGCTTGGTCATCCGGGAGGGGCTCGGAGTAGATCCGCTGCTCCTCCACATTGACAGGAGCCAGTTGAGGTGGCTCGGGCATCTGATCAGGATGCCTCCTGGATGCACCCCTGGTGAGATTTTCCGGGCACGTCCAACTGGGAGAAGGTCTAAAGGAAGACCCAAGACACGTTGGAGAGACTATGTCTCACAGCTGGTCAGGGAACGCCTTAGGATTCCCCCGAGGAGCTGGCCCAAGTGGCTGGGGAGAGGGAAGTCTGGGCCTCCCTGCTACTCTACTGCCTCTACTGCCCCCACAACCCGACCCCAGATAAGCAGCCGGAAAAGGATGGATGGATGAATAAAAAAAAAGCCTATGTTCAGAATGAAAACAATTATAAAGTATTTGTATTCTCTATCTATTGTGCAGGGATCAATTAATTTAGTCCACTAAGATCTGTGTTTGGTCATGACTTTCTCTTCTGGTTCCGAAGCTTGTCATGTAGAGAAGTGCAATAAAAGGTAACATGCATGGAGCTTAAAGTCAATTTACCTGGACATAAAATGCAGCATACTCAGTTTTTCAAAAAGATCAGTAGTTTCCCCTGAGAAAGTTAGCAGTGCAGTTACATCATTAAAAAGCTAAAATATCTCCACGAGTGAGGTGTTCAGTCCATAATTGTCAACAATGTCATCCACTGTGTCCTTTATCTTTCTTTCCCTTTCAGGGCGCTCATATTTTTACCAGCCATATCCAACCTGTTACCTGCACTAAGAGGCTAAAGCTACATAGACATCAGCCGTTAGCAACAAGATCAGCTGGCTGCCGTGTGGCTCTGGTCCAGCCACTGATTGGTCCAGTATGGCAATGTAAATTTAGTGGAGCTGTGTGAGACTATGCTTCTGTCCAACACACGCTGCTCCTTGCCCGATGGAAACAAATCTATTGACTATAATACACCCTGCTTTGTCTGGACTAGTCGTTGGCTCATCAGTCCTATTTTTAAGAATAGAGGCATTTCAGAAAGCTATCAGTAATGAGTAGGACATGAGTTATTATTTTTATACAAAAAAACACTTGGAAGTGGTAAAATGTCTCTTTAATTTAGCAGCTCGTATCTCAGCTGTAATACTTATTCCAAATTGAAAACATCCACATCCTGTATCACAGTAAAAACCACTATAAAAGTTCAGGTGTTACACATTAAACCTGTTTTACTGCCAGCCACTAGTGAGTAGAAATAGGTGGGAGGGTACAGTCAGTGGTGAGTAAGTCAGGGCGTTAATGTGGGTGGTTAAGTAGTTAACACCCAGGCTTTTTCCAATGAAAAGGAAATGTAATTTTTAACTTTTTTTTCCTTTCATACCTGATGAATCATGAGGTATTTCAGACTGATGCCAGTCAATCACTGCTGACAGTTGAAAGGCTGGCTTATTTAGTGCTCGGATCTGCCCAAAACGCTCTTTCTGGCTCGCACAGCCTCTGTTCTCATTCAGATTATAATAAGCAGTGAGGAAAATCCAATTTAACTGGCAGCGAGAACTGCCATTCTCTTAATTTCAACCCTCACTGGATGAGTTTGAGACATAGGTGCATGAGTGGTGGACATGTGCCTTCACACACACAAAAAAAAACAGAAGAAAAAAAACACACACCCTAAATTAAATTGCACGCATACACGGTGTGCCAAACACAACAAAAGCTCAATGATTGGTGCGGTGAGCTGTTTGTAAAGTGAAGAGTACTGCAGTCACGGTTTTGATTCTATTTTCCACTGTGTCAACAATTCTGACAGGTACCAAGACCGACTTCAAGCTCCTCTCGTATAAAGTCTGGTCGTGTCTATTGTCTGCTCTTAAACAACCAGTCATTCTCCTGGCTTGATTTTAAAAGGAAAAAAAAAAAACACTCAGAAACGTTCTCTGATGAGCCTCGAGGTGAGTGATGTCCTCCAGAGTTGTGCAAAAGTTTCACACGCCAAAGCATTCTTAAAAAGATTTTCCTGTTTCAACCTTAAACAACAGAACAAAAAAATCTTTAAGTGAATCATCTAATCAGGTCTTCGGTACTTTTCAGTTCATGGGCTGATCCACGGATCTTTGAGAACTTCCCACGGCTCTTTTGTAGATTCAGGATCTCTTTGCTAATTCTGTCTCTTTATGCAATCCCAGACTGATGCTACCCGGTTATAATCTGGTGCTGACATAACATCTGCCGCAGGAATTGCTGCTCTCCAAGTCAATCGGGATGTTTCGGGTTTCTGTCGTGCTGCAACTTGTAAGGCGCATAAACTTTTAACAAATGAAAAAAAAAAAAGGTAACGCAACCGGGGATCACATTCACAAGCTTTTGTTATTTTTCAAGTGAGATTTAAGGTCTTAAAGTGACATTTGTGAACTGGAAGGCTGGCAGCTGTTTACTAGGCTGTTTCACTGTGTAAACAAGCTCGTGTGTATACGTGGTAGCACGTGTGGGATTTACTATTTGAAGGCCTCTTGAGTTTCAGCAATCTAATAGCTTGTATGCAGAGGGTAAAATCAATGCAGACAATAAATAGATAAAAATAAGCATTTTTCAGTTAACATACACACGTTCTCAGTGCAGAAATTTTCAAAAGTTGGCATTCTGGTTAGCCTTTGACTGATGCTTCCCTTTCATGTTGAGTTCATGTGCAGCAAGAAGGTTCCCACACCTCCTCAGCTGTGCTTGTTTTTTTGTTTTTTCCCACTGTGTGAAGAAAATAACTCCTCTTTAAGTTTCCTGAAGTTTAAAACAAAGAAAACTCAGTTTGCACCTCAGCACTGAAGTCACTGTGACGATGACCAGTTGAAAGGAAACATCTGATAAAAACAGAAGAGTGTCTAGACTTGTTTAAAAAAAATAACCCGTGGAAAAAAAATCATGTTTTTGCAGTGTCCAAAGCCCCTCTTTGTCCTCCATGTAGAAATGCAATGATTGCTGGTTTTTCTTGATGGATTCTGCTCTCTGGAGCTCTCTGACCTGACCATTTAAATATTTGCTCATCCTAATGTATCTTTATAAATTGTAATTTTCATATTTCTAATACATAATCCAAATCTTTCGGAAGAAAGGCAGCTGATGACTCCTTTACAGCACAAGTCAATAAGCAGCTATTTAAAATATGGGTAATATCACCAGATTTTTTTTAAAGGGGCATACGTATTATACCATTTTTCTAAAGTTATAAAAGTTCTACGGTCGATTCAAAACCTGTTCAAGATGTTCTTTGCACTAAATCCCTCTCAAGTGAAGGAATTTCAACATTTTTCTTGTTGTTACTTTAAGAAAACAAGACTTAGCTGGCCATGCCCACCCACTCCCCATTCAGGCTGCTATAAGCCAAGAAGCTCCGATATCCTGGAGGGACTAGGAGTAGAGTCTCTGCTCCACCACCAGCAGCTCTCTCTAATATACAAGAGGTCGTTTCTGTTCTAAAAACCATTTTAAAAAATCTCTGTTTGTGACATCACAAATGGGGACTTTTTGAAATGGCTTGTTTTTGGCACCAAATTCCTAAAACCACTGACATAAATCTGATGAATGGGTTTTTTTTACCCACATTGCAGCTCAAAAAGTGAGTTTTGCATAATAAGTCCCCTTTCAAAGCATTTAACCCCCTCACTGTCTTTATGGGTGACCCTGCGAGGAAAGTTGACCATTGAGCACGTGGCAGGGGTGAGGAGTGAGCACCACCTCACCCCTACCACATGGACCTCAAGGGACAAACCATCAACCCTGCTCAATGGTCAACTTTCCTCACGGGGTCACACCCATTAGGACAGTGGGAGGGTTAATATGTACTCCTTCTCCTCACACACACCTAATCCATGGTTGAAAAAGTGTCCATAATAAAATGTTAACAGTAAAAAAATGTTTGCCCACTCTAAAGAGCCGCAAAAGCTCAGGAGGTAGAGCAGGTTGTGGGATCAATTCCGGCTCCAGGCGGAGAGTGCTGCCATTGTGTTCTTAGGCAAGACGCTTAATCTTGCATGCTGGTAGTGGTCAGAGGGACCGGTGGCGCCTGTGCTCGGCGGCGTGTCAGTGTGCCCCAGGGCAGCTGTGGCTACGATGTAGCTCATCACATTCAGCGTGTGAGTGTGTGTGTGAATGGAGTCATTTATCATTTGAAAAGCAGCAATATTCAGAGTTTTCTCTTGCTCAGGATTTTTGAATGCTGCCGAAAATCATCATTTCGATTAATCTCTGCATCCTGATGCGTGCGTACGTGTGTTTCAGAGGCAGTTTCTCACAAAGTGATTAGAAGGACGTTGTGAGGACGCAGAAGGTAGGCAACGATGGAGAAGTCCCCAGGCTCTGCTCTTTACACCCATTCTTTTATTAGAGAGTTAAAAGTCCGGTTGTAATGAATCACCGTGGCGCTGATGGAAATCATGGAGCAGCCATGATCTGAGTTACTGTGAAAGAGTGGAGGTGGTGGGAGGACAAGAGCGTTTGCATGACTGCACTTGTTTTGTTTTAAATGAAAATTAATAATGTACTAAATTTGATCCTGATAATGATGGTCCTCAGGCAGGCACACACCTGGCTGCTGAGTGTGTGTGTGTGTGTGTGTGCGTGTGCGTGTGTGCACCTCTTGAGCAGTCTGTCCTGCCTGTGACTTGTGTCTCTCCAGCTCCCTCCTCAGTGACGTGTTCTGCCTCTCGAGCTGCAGCACCCTGCGGGCCAGGTGAACGCTGCACAAAAGCCAAACAGGAGCAGTTACTGAAGTTCCGAAACACGACAACACCAACAAGACCACATCTGTGTGTGTTTCCAGGTTATTTCTTACAGAGCGTCTGTCGCTATTCCGGTAAAAGATAAGTAAGCCTTTACCGCTGCACAAACACGTTACAGAACAATGACTTTACGAGGAATTGTCACGTTTCCCTGATGCGGGAAATGACGGCGTGTCTTCTTCTACCTCTGCTTCAGTCTCCTTTTGGCCGTTGTGGGAACGTTTGCTCCGTAGCCGTATGAGAACAGAACCCTCTCTGCCTCTTCCTCATCCTCAACTGGCGACAAAAAGACAAAATAAATAAATAAATAAATAAATAAAAAACAACCACAACAGCGCGTAAACATATGCAGAACTCATTATTTCAGTCATGATGGTATTTGCAAACAAGACAACACAGCCTTAAATTCCCACAGCGTTGATCTGATTATCTTACTTTCGGCCGCCTGCATGGTGACCTGGTCCAGCTCTTGCTCCAGCTTCTCATACGTCTCCAGGCGGGACGCCTGCTCGGCGTTCTGAGCTTGAAGCTCGGCCACCCGCTTCTCAGACGATGTTTGTAGTCTGTAAAACTCCTGAGTGAGAAGCTGAGCGATAAAGAAGAGGAGATGGAGAGCACAATTTTTAAACGTATAATTGATGAACACGGAAAGATCCTTGGTGCATTTTGGTGATTGTGCAGCTGTCCAATTACGAAATAAGATAACAAATAAAGCAACAGAAAATAAAGTCCCTGTTTGTTGAATTTACCTCTAATTTCTTCTGTTGTTTCTCACACTCCAGTTGGCACTGTGCCAGGGCTTTAGCCGTCTCCTCCTTGAGCATCTGAGCTCGCTCGGCTTCGAATGAGTGCAGCTTGGACCGGCTGGACAGTTCTGCCACCCGGCTGTCGGTGCCCAGCTGGAGCTGACGAAACCTAGAGGTTTAGTGGTTACGAATGTCAGATCGTACACATTCAGATAGGTAACTTGCTTAAAAACTGGCTTGAACCGATGATCCGGTGTGTTTACCAGGAAAGCTAAAGCGGTGTCTAACGGTTTGGCAACAACGAAGCCACATTAGCTCACCTCGCAGGGGAGCCAAGTCCTAAATTATTTCAGTTTTTCCCAACACTGCTCAAAGCAACGCTAATCTGGTTTGATCTTCGGCGTGAACAGAAGCATTTTCTATTTTACTATCAACTGATTAAAAGAAGAAAAAAAACGTATACATTTATACAAAATATGAATAATACATAGAATATTAAAAAGATATTCATGTCAAAGATCAAATTTACCTTTTTTAATGAGAATGTTTTTTATTTCTTTTGCATCAAATCAAATCTAACCTTAATAGATGTTGGTTAGGAATCTTAATTAAAATACAAAATAAAAATAAAAACTTTTTTTTATTGTTTTCTGATATTTTCTAAACAATTCCTCAGCAGAAGGCAGGATTACCCGATTAAAAAACTAAAGTTATCTGCGGATCTAAAAGCACGAGCGAGCGCGGTGCACTTCCTTAGGCTGCTTTTCAAGCGTGCACAAACAGGCTCCATCAAGCCATGCTGGTTGGCTGGATCATATTAATAACTCTCGATTACAGCTGACCTGATAAGATTTCATCACCCAGAGTGAGCGGGCTTGAGCTATGCGCTCACAGAGACAGACGTGTACACATGGTTGACATTTTATGCCATCTCTTATAAATGGCAGCTGCCATCTATCAGCAAAGAAGCTACATTAAAAGAGAAGAAGAAGAAGAAAAGTGGATTTTTCCAGAAGTCTGCCTCATTTCCCTCTCGTTTTAAATGTCAAATCTAACGACGGCTTTATTTTGGCTTCAGGCGGTTCGTCTTAGTAACTTTCAGTTTGTCTTAAATGTGAAAGTGAAAACTGAGCTTTTCTTTTGAGATGATCTGATCCAACTAACTGGTTGTTTTTAGCCCGTACTTGGAAACACAGCGCTGAGATTTGAGGAGGCCCCAGATGCCTCCATCATCTGACGCCGTTTCGAGCTCGTCCTCCTCATTCTTCACCCCAAAAATAGGGGCATGCGTAGGGTTAGGGGTTAAGGGCTTGAGGCTAGCATCTGTCATTGCTGGCTCGCGATGCGACGCAGAGTAGGAATGTGATCGCAGCAGAGAGAGTGGAAGGGAGAGTGGTGTGTGTGTGTGTGCGTGTGTGTGGAAACACCAACAGCTGGTGGTTTGGATTTAGACAAATGACTGGTATGTAGTGGTAACCCAGGACATGGACACTGCCGCCGCTGCTGCTGCTGCTGCTGCTGTGTGTGCATTTCTGTGCCTCTGGAGACCCGATAAAAAAATAAACTATAATAAAAACTCATGAAAGTTTTTTTTCTTTTATAATTAAAGTCAAAAATTCAAAACTGCTCAAACAAGAGGGGCTTTTTTAGGATTATTTTTACATGAACACAAATGTGTTTACAGCTAAACAGAATCAAAACACAGCTTAAAATATTGACATTCCGAATGGCGTGAAAGATTCAAGAACTTCCAGCAAAGGTCGTGACCTAGAGGCAACTTTCACAAACAGGCTGACATGCAAATTATAACCTGCAGGAGTGATTGATGTCAATTGCGACGACTCTGTTGGGTCAAATCTGAAAAGGCGGCAGGAACGTCACTTAAATCTGCAAATCAGTAAGAAAAGATGCACGACCGGGACGTTTGCTGTCTGTAAACTCTTGACATCCATGTGACCTTCTGGTCCCTGAATTACAGCAGAGCGTTCAAATGATCTTTAGAAAGACGCGGAAAACCACAACTGCCTCAGAGCTGCCGCGCCCACAGAATTCACTGGTGACGGAGCGCAGCAGCGCCAGAGAAGGAACCCGCTCGCTGATTTCCTTCAACCCCAGACAACCTGGTAGTTTGCTGCTCGATTGAAGAATTAAGATGAGCGGTGATCATGCTGAATGTGAAGCGCAGCAGCTGGCCTGGGTTACCCTCAGGTGCAGTCTCTTTGTGTTCATACGGAGGTATGCTGCATCTAATTGCAGCTCTTGGAAGTTTTTTTCCTCTCAGGCCAACAGAAATGTCAAACCCTGCTCTGTGTGTAAACATGCAACGCAACCCGGCTCGCTTCTAACAAAACCGGCTTTTTGTTGAAATTTACAGCTGAAATACAAATGCAACAAATATGTGCACGGCTGTACATTCGTCTTTGATGTTTACAGAGAACCGGGCGTTGTTTTGAGACACTTGTTTGATTTGAGTTTTACTTGCAGTAAAGCGCTTGAGAACAGGAGTATGCTTTAACTCCCTTGTGTGGTGATCGTCCTTTTGAAACGAGGTATTTCAAAAGCTGGTGGAAACCAGAGATTAATCTTAAACAAGTTCTTCATGTTTCCACTGAAAACTCTCTCTGAGGCGGGAAAACTGGTTCCAGTGGGACACGGATGTTTTCCTTGTTTATGTCAAAGCAATTAAACACCTTAACTGACATTAAAGATGCAATGGGAGCATTCTTTTGCCACATTGCTTGGAATGCTCTTAAAATACTCATGGCACGAAATGAAATGCCTTGTCAAACAAAACAAAAAAACGGAATAATTTTAATTGCTTCCTTTATGTACAATCCTGGAAACAGCTCACCCAATCACAGTCAGCGTCCCATTCTAAATGACTGGATCAAGATCCATCAAACTACTCTCTGACCATCTCTGCCTGTGTGCATGAATCACACGTACGCGGCTCAGATCCGCTGAACAGGAAGCGAAGCCAGAGCTGGGCTAGCTATATTAGCTAGCATTCTAAACTCTTATCTGGTTACGTAGCTGAGCGAAAGTAGTGGAGGGTGTTTTCGGTTTAATGTGCCCAGTCATTCATGCTGGATCTTCGATCTATGTTGCTTCTGTCTCCTTAACTGTCAGCGAGGACAGAGTCCAAAAAACTACTGACCGGCAACGGACCATGGAGAATCCATCAGAAGCCTGGAGGCTCCACGGCTGCTAACGTAGACGTGTTATATTGGGAATTATGGCACAAAAGGTGTCAACAAGGGTCAAAAAGGTAAGTATCATGATGTTTTGAAGGTTGTTTGACAGAATCTGTTGCACCGGATTTTCTACTGTATTCTGGAGGTGTGGCTTAAGGAGGCAGCCTGATGAAAAGAGGTTGGACAATAGGGAGTCTAAGTCTCCTCCCCTTCCGGTCGGCTCATGGGTCCCGGAAGAACGGAAAAATGAATGCAAGTCAACGGGGCTTAAAAGAGCTATTTTCTAATCTGCTTTGCCTTACGCCCTGGATCCCATATGTTGTACTGCAATTTAAACTAAAACTAATGATGGGTGTTTAGATTATGCCAGTCGCGTACTTTGAGATTCATCAGCTCGTAAAAGTTCGTAATTAGCACGACTACCAATCAGACATCAGCATGTCGCATATAATCTCCTCTACCCCAGCGTAGCTGCTACTTACCACATGGCCAGATTTATGGTGGTTCTTTCCTCCTGAAGGAAGGATTTTAAGTTGGCTGAACTTACAGCCCTTTTCCCTCGGTTTTTCTACGTGTCTGGTTCGATGACGTCACTGTCGTGAAGCGCATTTGTAGTCCTGGACTTATTTTCACACAACACCCAAAATAGTGTGCCCCCCCCCAATAAAAAATAAGCACTTTCTTGGTATCAAAATGCTTCTTTAAAATTCACTGACATCATATGTGAAATCCATGACACATAACATGCAGAATTAGAAAATAGCGTTTTTAGCCTCATTGACTTGCATTCATTTTGTCGTTCTTCTGTGGACCCATGATCTGGAAGTAGATGGGCGTGACTTAGGCTCCTTATAGTTTATTTTTTTATTTTTTTTTAATGGAGCTAGTTTAAACAGCTTTTTTCAGGAAAACTTACCCACCCTTAAAGAAAAGGTAAAATTAGCCAGTGTAGCTTTCAGGGTGTCCATATAGAGCTGTAATCAAACCAGCGTGATCAAAACTCGTAAAGAGCGTTAATCGAAGCTGCTTTACGCGTGCAGCTGAAACGAAGCTTACAACAGCAGAAACAATCTGTCAAGGGGAGGAAACAAAAATATGGATCGTATGGAGTTGGTTAATTAATGTTTTTGCATTTGTGCTGCAATGAACAGTTTTCTCCTGCCTGTGGCCATTTCTAATGTTCATTACAGGTGAGTAGGGAAACTCACTGCTCCAGCAGCTGGTCATATCTGGACTGAGCATCCCTCTCAGCAGCTACAGCTCTCTCTCTCTCCAGGACTGCGTTATCCCTGGCTTCACGCAAATTCCTGTTTAAATAAACACAACACAGAGAAAAGAAACATCCTCACTCAAGAATCCATGAGATCTAGGACGCTCAAGGCCTTTGAACGAATTTTTGAATGAATGAAGTCTTTATTTGAATGTTTAAGATAGGATAGAAATAAAAGCAAAAATCCACAGGGAGGACAAACTAATTAGAAATGTCCGAACAAGAAGCAAAGTACAACTAGTGGACACCTCTAATAATGAATACAACATAAATTAAATAACACCAGTGATGAAGTTGAAATAAAAACAATTATTAAATATTTAAAATGTAAACTTGAAGTTTGAATCAAGTTAAACTGTGTTTTTATGTGTTTTAGGTCAAAAGAGACCCAATACCTGTTCTCTCTCTCATACATCTCCCTGGAGGTTCTTTGCAGGTTCTCGATCTCCTGGCTGGTTCTCAGCCGGATGTTCTCCAGCTCCTCCCTCAGTTTGTTCTCATACTCGGACTTGTAGTGGTCTCTGCAGTAGAGAGCAGAAATGTAATTAATGCTCTCGCTCTATCTGTGGGTTACTTTCACCAAACGTCAGATCAGAAAGAAATATTTTATGAGCTGCTGGTGTGAAGATCCTGACCTGGATGAAACATATTTTTCATAGGCCTCCTCCCTGGCTTTTTTAGTGTCTTCTAATTGCACCTGCACACCAAAAACAAGAAATGAGAGGCTTGTCAGGTGATTCCCCCCCTGCTGATTCCCTCCTCTGTTTGAACCTGAAGCCTCTCGAGGCGATCTCCTTCATGTGCACATCGGACATTGAGCTCCATATTCTGTCTGTGGAGGTACTCCTTGTCCTTCTGCAGGAGTGTAACTGACTGATGCAACGTCGCCACCTGCAGGGCATGAGGAACACTGTTACACCTGGAGGATTCTGCTAGCCTGGCAAGCCAGACTAAATAAATAAGCAAGAATTTGGTCTAGTTCACTAGGCTAGGATTCTGCAGATTCTGGGGCGTGTTTGTGTGCACCTCCTTGCTCAGCGTGTCTCTGTCTTTGGTCAGGGCAGCGTGAGCCCGTTCTACAGTCTCGAATCTCTTTGTTAGCTCCTTCAAATCTGCTTCAAACGTATCACGCTCACTAGGAAAATCAAAGAAAAAATTTAGTCTTTTAAGAGCTTTTCCAGGCTGTATGGTAGTCAAGCTCACTGTGACACACACCGTTTGATGTTTGGGTAGTTGTCTCTGCGATAGTCGCCCTCTTGAATCAGCTGCTTAGTGTCCGCCAGCTCTAAGGTCAGTCTTTGGCTTCTCAGCTCCAGCTCCGAACGAAGCCGCCGCTCCTCATCATAGCTCTGTGGATTTTAGCAAAATCAGCGCAAACATGTTAAATAGTTTACCTGAGGAATTAGTTTATCATATTTTTTATTATATAAATATCCAGAATGGCTCTCCTAATGCTTCGAGGCATAATCTTGCACCTTGGACACAAGCGTGTGTTTTGTACCTCCATCAAAACCTTCATCTTGTTCCTGTGTAGCTCCAGCTCTTCGGTCAGATAGCTTTTCTGCTCGCTGAGTTGAGTCAGTTGAGTCCGCAGAGGATTCATGGCTTCATAAAAACGGATCTGAGGTGAAAATGTTCCAGAGATGGAGGTCACAACATAAGACAGCATCTGGGTGTCTAGAGAACCCCACCATACTCACAGCTACGTATTCCTGTATGGAGAGTTTGTCCTCAGGGAGGCTGCGGAGCTCCTGGTACCTTTCCTGTGAAATGTCCAGATCCCTGAGAGACCTCCGCAGCTCTCCTGCCTTCTCACAGAGCTGTCGATTCGTCTCCTCCAACTGCTGCTGCCTGAGCAGTATGGCCTCCATCTCCTGTCTGCGCAGACTCTGCTGCTTCCTGATGAAACCAGAAACAAATAAATTTTTAAACATGCTTTTTTCCAGTAAATATGTATTTAATTAAACCAGTCATCCTATCACCTGTTGTCCTCCTGAGCAAGTTTCAGCTGGCTGTCCAGCCTCAGAGTCAACACTTGTTTCTGGTGTAGAGCATCATTCAGCCTCTCCTCCAGCTCATCAATCTGAAACAGAGCACAATCCATACGTCTACTGAAACATACATGAACTTGGCCCATGCTTAGCCTCCAGTGGGCCAAGATTTCTCATGATCTTTGTAACCAATGCTGAGCGACAGCTCTCCAGGCTTTTGGAAGATCAAGAAAAGATTTTCAGCATTCAAAAGGATATCATGATAAGAAACTGAAGAAAAATCAGCAAATATTCATAATCACAATGCTTGAAAAGCAATTAAAACTACATTTTATTACCACTTTGACCAATTAAAGTTAAATTATAGGAAACTAGAAACAAAGGATCATATCCACAATCTGCACTGTTAATACCTTTGACATGTGATCAGCTTTCATGTTGTCTATGACTAGATTCTTCTGAGAAAGCTCGATTTTTAGCAGCTGGACGTTGTGCAGCAGCTCCTTCCTCTCGATCAGCTGGCGTGTCACCTTCTGGGAGCCGTCACGATGCTCGTCGGATGAGGAGACATCCTCGGTGGTCGGTACCGTTGTCTCCAGACTGATGTCCTCGGACTCCAGGTCCAAGGAGCTGGAGACATTTGCTGTCGGTTTTAGCTGCTGCTTTTTAGGAGGCATTTTTGTCCAGTTTTTTTCCTCCAACTGACACGGTGGGCGAGTTTATTAAGTTTATTCAGGTGTTTTTAGGTCATCGCGATAATTGATACTTAAACGTGAGTTTGTAGCATAAAACCCTAACACAGCACAGCTTCATCATGACTAAAACCGTACAAATACAAAGCCAACATATTTTTAAAAAAATACAAAAGACATGGCACGTAAACAGCAACGATGTGATTTGTTTTCATTTTCAAGGGTACCGCTTCAGGCTACCAGCTAGCCGCCAAAGATTTGACTGTTGTTCATTATCGGTTACAGCGCCCCCTGTGGTAAGCACAGTGTACAGCAGAGCAACACCCACAATTACAACGCATAGTGGTGCACTACACCCTCCTACCGCTATGAGGCGCAACTTGTGTTAATCTTCAACTTTCCTTTTTCGGTTTTAATCCCAAAATAAGATGGTCAACAAGAAACTATTAGTCATCGCAGACTTTCAGTAATATTCTAGCGATATTATTAATATATAGCTACAAATTATGTAATGAGTCTTCTTATAAATATATCTGAGGCAGGAAACTGTAAAATACAGAACATTTACAAGAGAAACACCATCGAATCTTTAAAACTCTCGGAAAGTTTTATTGGCCAGCTGAGTTGGTTTACACCATCACACGGGTCACTGTTTTAGGTATTTCTGCGAAACTGCTGAACATCTTCAGGTGGCGGATTTAAATACTGTAAGGACGTTTATTCGTGATAATGTTAAAGTCGAAGACCTTCGTGAAGAAGACCCGGTCGGGTGGAGTAATGAAGGTTGTGCGTGAGCATTACCTCAGAGATGATATTTGGTGTGGTAGTGAAACTTGTACTGAATGCAAACAGGACTCCCCGGTGCTACAAAAAGACGTGTGTGTCGAGAGCAACCTGTGCTCCTATCCACACTATTTGGTCCCTGACACGAATGTTGTGTTACATCAGGTATATTCACACTTCCAACAATCATATCTAGCCACCTGCACGTTCTTTTCGGATTGTACAACGCAATAATGTTATTTATACATTTTTCCTTCAGATCGACGTGTTAGAAAATCCTGTGATTCGTAACGTGATTATTCTTCAGACCGTACTGCAGGAGGTTCGCCACCGCAGTGCACCTGTCCACAAACGCCTGAAGGACATCATCCATGAAAAGGAGAAACACTTCTACACTTTCACCAATGAACACCACAGGTACAGATAGGAAGGCTCAAAAGTGCCACAACACAATAAATCAATTAAGTTTATTTATACAGAGCCAACCCACACAAAATATCCTTTATTGTCCCTGTAGTTAAATCTATTGTGGACTCTAACATGCTTTACAATCAGAGGAAAAAAATAGCCGCAACAATTACGGAAGTACAATCACTCACCTCACTTAAAATGAGTTACAATCACCTTTTAAGTTTGCTTGGATGCTCAGTTTCTCCAACAGTGAAACATCTGTTTCCACCATGAACTCAGTCGTTTTCGGTCATGGTGTTCTAGGACTTGTTTAAGAAATGTTGCTGTGGCTCGTTTTTCATAAATAAAATGTATTTTTATGTTTACTTTTGATCGGCATATGTTCATATTTAGTTCTGATGCTTACTCTCACATCTTCTGTTCTCTCAGAGAGACATTCATTGAACGCCAACCAGGGGAGAGCGCCAATGATCGCAACGATCGTGCGATCCGTGTGGCAGTGAATTGGTACAGCAAACACCTGAAAACGCTCGAGTCGGGCCCAGATGGTCTCAAAGTGGTCCTCCTCACCAACGATCTAGGGAACAAGCAGAAAGCGGAGGAGAATGGCATGGTCGCTTTCAAATGTAACTTATTAATCTAACAGCGAGGATTCACAACAGTATACTTGTAAATCACATCAGTTGAACACTTTGATTTCTCACATTTTAGTTGAAGAATACATCAAGAGTCTTCTCGCGAATCCTGAGCTTGTGGATCTTCTGGCTTTGTCCAATGACGATAAGGTGAGCATGATTTTTTAATAATCCTGTGTGTCGTCGGAAGCTGCTTTTACAGATAGGAATTTCATTCACATACTTGTTTACAGTTCCACATATTTTTCAATGGAAATATCATGTTCTTGTCTTTCTTTTTGTTTATAGAATGAGATCACAAGCAGTAAGGTTTTGTTTCCAGAGCACCTTCCTCTTTCCAGGATCCAGGTAGGAATCAAAAGCGGCTCCTACCTTCAGGGCACCTTCAGGGCCAGCAGGGACAACTACCTGGAGGCTACTGTTTTTGTCCAAGGAGACGGAGAGGACAGCACAGAGGTGTGTGGACAAGTCCCAGTGAAGATGCTGTAGGATCAGGATTCGCTTCACAGAGATGACTTTTTTTTTTTCAGAATCTCTGTAAGTGACAGTAAAAGTTGTGTTTTGTGTTCCTTGGCTTGTTTGTAGGTTCTCATCCAGGGTCTTCAAAACCTCAACAGGGCTGTGCACCAGGATGTGGTTGCTGTGCAGCTGTTGCCACGGAATCAGTGGTTGGCGCCTTCATCGGTCGTCCTGCAGGATGACGGCGTGGCAAAGGATGATGATGTTGAAGAGGATGAGGAGGAGAAAGTGTGACATTTTATTTTTTTTTTACTGAAAAGAAATTCTGGTGTAGAAAAAAACTGCAAGAATGTTTGTTATTAGTTTATTAAGGACCTCCATGTTTGTGTTGGTCTGCTCAGTTGAGGCTATCAGCTGCCGAGGCGGCCAGGAAACCCACAGGAAAGGTGGTGGGAATCATCAAAAGGAACTGGAGACCTTTCTGTGGAATGCTGAATGTGTCCCAAATCAAAGAGGTACGTTTAAAATGCTGCACGTTCTTAATTTTAATGTATAAAACTCAAAATTGATAATTACTTCCTCCTTTTATGGTAAAGTCTTCTGTTGCTGACATATTTCTCACTATCAGCACTGATGGTTCTTGTTTTTCCTTTTCTTATCCAGTCTACCCGCCACCTTTTCACCCCGGCAGACCGCCGTGTTCCACGCATTCGCATCGAAACAAGACAGGCTTCCACGCTTGCAGGCCAAAGGATCATGGTGGCCATTGATGGCTGGCCCAAAAACTCCAGATATCCAAATGTAACTTTGCCAAAATTTGCAAGACAATGAAGTTTTCAGGAAGTAAAAAAAAAATGCTGCATTGTTTGTATAGAATCATTTATTGTGTGTGTGTGTGTTAGGGTCACTTTGTCCGCAGTTTGGGAGGTGCAGGGGAGAAGGAGACAGAGCAGGAGGTGCTGCTTCTGGAGCACGACGTTCCACATCAGGCTTTCTCCCAGGCCGTTCTCAGTTTTCTTCCCAAGATGCCTTGGGCCATCACACCAGAGGTGAGCTTTAATACAGATACACATTAGCATTAGCACAGTTTTCCATTCGGGTTCATGTAGAGCTACATGTGAATGTGTGTGTTGGACAGGACATGGCGAAGCGAGAGGACCTGAGACATTTAACTGTGTGCAGTGTGGATCCTCCAGGATGTACGGATATCGATGACGCTCTGCACTGTAGGGAGCTGGAAAATGGAAACTTTGAGGTGCACATGTTGTACATTTACACCATCAAGGATGGCATCAAGGTCTTTATGTGTATTTTATGGATGAGACACCTGATCTGTTTTCTGTAGGTGGGGGTTCACATCGCTGATGTCAGTCACTTCATCAGACCTGGTAATGCACTGGACAAAGAGGCCGCCAACCGGGGTACAACAGTGTACTTGTGTGGAAAAGTAAGAAAATCCACCAAGACAGATAATGGTTTGCAGTTTGAAACCGTTTCAGTCAAATTTCGGTCTTGATTCTGTTTTTAACAGAGGATAGACATGGTTCCCGAGCTGCTCAGCTCCAATCTGTGTTCGCTACGCTCTAATGTGGAGAGGTAAGGACTAAAAGGACAAAAGCAGAAACACCAGTTTGTTTTCAAATCCAGTTCATTAACATCAAAATACAATTCAAGTTTTGCTTTGAAATGTTCTCCCTCATTCTACCAGACTCGCCTTTTCATGCATTTGGGAAATAAACCACAAGGCAGAAATTTTAAAGACTCGGTTCACAAAAAGCGTCATCAACTCCAAGGTAAATTGTCCCCACGCAAGCACTGGAGGGATTTGTGTCGGATAAACTACTACTGAATTTCAAAGCATTGGTCTTAATGATCATCCAGGCCTCTCTGACGTATGCTGAGGCCCAGATGAGGATAGATGACACCAACAAGACTGATGACATCACCCAAAGTTTAAGAGGGCTCAACAAACTCGCCAAAATCCTCAAGAGGCAGAGGATAGAGAACGGGTGAGAATAACGAGCTAAGGAGAAACGGATGGCGTGTTTCAGTGCCGCAAGAGCGGCAGTTGTTTAGTTTTGTATTTTAACTGACGCGTTTGTTTTTCAGGGCACTGACGCTTTCTTCCTTAGAGGTCCGGTTCCACATGGACAGTGAAACCCATGACCCGATAGACCTGCAAACGAAAGAACTGATGTAATGTCGAAAAGATGACAAAATTCTCTGTTTTTGCTAAAAAATACTTTATAGCTGTGATGTTAATTGCAAAAAAAAACAACTATTTTTTTAATAGGGAGACAAACTCTATGGTTGAGGAGTTCATGTTGCTGGCCAATATTTCAGTTGCACAGAAGATTTATGATGAGTTTTCAGAATGCGCTCTGCTGAGGAAACACCCGGCTCCTCCTCCGTCTAACTACGACGTTCTGATCAAGGCTGCAAAGTCCAAAGTGAGTCTTGTTGCATCTGCTCTGAATCCAGTAATCAGTGTGAAGATTTATTATATTAGTGTTTATTATTTAGCTGTGATAACTCGAGGTTAGAGCATATAAAATAAAATCCCATCTCATTTTAAGTGTGTTGATACATTTAACAGATTATGGACGCAGAATCAGAATTTTTCATGAATTTGTTTTTACAGTTTATTACATAACAAAATAACCAGCACACCAGCTTCTTGTTACACAGTGGCGTGTCTAGGCTTTTTAAATTGGGGTGGCCCAGGTTGGGCACCCGCATGGGTGGCACCAAACATTGTGTTTTTTAGTTTTCTTTTTTTTTTTGGGGGGGGGGGGGGGGGGGCGTGGAGCCACCAAATCATTCCTCTTTAGCATTCTAATGAATTTGTGAGCTCCACTTTGTGCCATGACAATTTTTTCTTTGTACTCTTCTTCAGGAACATTTCCTTCTTCCTGTATTCTGTAGGTCTTCTCCTTTGAACTGGTGCGACGGTGGCATAGGAGTTAAGTGCTCGCCCCGTAATCGGAAGGTTGCAGGTTCGAGCCCCGCTCAGTCTGTCGCTGTCGTTGTGTCCCTAGGCAAGACACTTAACCCACGTTGCCTGCTGGTGGTGGTCGGAGGGACCGGTGGCGCGAGTGCTCGGCAGCCTCGCCTCTGTCAGTGCGCCCCTGGCCAGCTGTGGCTACATCGTAGCTCATCCCCACCAGTGTGTGAATGTGTGTGTGAATGGGTGAATGACTGATTGTGTTGTAAAGCGCCTTGGGGGGTTCCATGACTCTGGAAGGCGCTATATCAAATACAGGCCATTTGAACTGTTTTGTGGTTGGCAAACCACTTCTTGGTGCATTACCGCCACCAACTGGAGTAGAGGGAGGACCAGGATTCTAAATATTGTGTCAATATGAAGAAAAAATAAATAAATAACATAGAAATGCTCTGTAGACCTGAATTCAGTGGGGTGGCCTGTCAAATTCAATGGGTGGCACGTGCTACCCTGGGAACGCCCCTGCTGTTTTAACACTACTGCATCTATCCCGGACAGAATGTGGAGATCCACGTAGATTCCGCCAAGGCCCTAGCTGATTCCCTGGATGGAGCCAAAGTAGAGAGCTTTTCCTATTTCAACACGCTGCTGCGCATCCTGGCCACTCGCTGCATGATGCAGGCAGTCTACTTCTGCTCTGGCATGGACAGCGACTTCCACCATTATGGCCTCGCCTCACCCATTTACACGCACTTCACATCACCGATTAGGAGGTGCAGAAGCCCACAGATCATATTTTAACATATGTAAAGACAAAACAAAAGCTAAACCACCTGCTTGTGTGCGTTCCTGCAGGTATTCAGATATCATAGTGCACCGGCTGCTGGCGGTGGCCATAGGAGCGGACAGCACCTACCCAGATTTGATGGACAAACATAAACAGTCGGCTCTCTGCAACAATCTCAACTACAGACACAAAATGGCTCAGTACGCTCAGAGGGCGTCTGTGACCTTCCACACTCAGGTAAACACACGCACACATCTGTCTAGAGTTTATTATTCATATTTTGGGTTTTTTAAATATTTTAAATGGATACTTGAGTCACTGTGAATTTTTTTTCTCCTCTTAGTTGTTTTTTAAGAGTCGAGGTATGCTGAACGAAGAAGGATTTGTCCTGTTTGTGAGGAAGAATGCCATCATCGTTCTCATCCCAAAGTTTGGTCTGGAGGGGACCGTCTTCTTTGATACCAAAGACAAAGTCTCACCCAGCCTCGTTTATGATGAAGAGGTAGGAAGAATTCGCTTTTTCATTTTCACATAAATCTATGGGACATTTAAAAATGTATTTCTACATGGATAATTGTTGAAAATCCCACGTTGTGTCCGTGTGTAGGGTCCCACGCTGAAGGTGGAGCAGCATACATTCCACATATTCGATCGGGTGAAGGTTACAATCGGCCTTGACGACTCCAACATTCAGCACCAGAAGATCCGCATGGCTCTGACAGAACCCTCGGTGAGGACAAAGACATAGTTCGACTTTTTCATTAAGCTTTGATTCAGTTTTACGTGAGCCTTTTGTTTTTCATGCGTTTTAGATCCCCGGTGTGAGCGTTCCTGCTCCTGAAGCTGAACCACCAACCAAGAAGCAGAAACTGGATCGCTGACAAACAAAACAGCTGTAATTCATCCAGATCATCTCTGATCTGTTAAAACAGCTAACTGTGTGCCAGGAACATTTAAGTTTAATACATAAATCACCACATAGGTGCACTGCTTCGGTCTTACTTTTGAAACATTTGCAGTTGAAACAGATTAAAGTTGTCTTTTACTTACCTGTTTCGGTGTGTTTTCTCACAAACATGCTCCTCGTGTAGAGTGGAGAACATGGCAGTAACAGTTATAGTAGAACAAGCTCAAAAATCACACCACTTCAAGGCAAAAGCTAGAGTTAATTAAATGAAGAAACAGCACAGCTTTAGACAAAATATAAAGAAAAACAATCTTTTAATGCATGAAAACCATCATTTGGTGTGAATTATACAGAAGCCGACAGATGGCTTGAATATGAAAATCAATACCACAGCGAGGGAAAAAGTCCTGTAAAAACCTCAAAAATAATTTTATAAAAACAAATAAGAGCACAGGTGATCAGGGTAATCATATTAGCACCAAACAAAATAAAAATTGGCATTTAAAAAAAGCCCTTTAAAAGATAAAAGATGTGCAAATCTGGTCCAAAATGGACAGTTTCCTCCCCTTTTACCACACCTTTATGACTGATTCAAAAGTTTTACTCACAAATAATAAAATATTCAGTGTCTTACAGAAGTTAGACTTTAAGGTAGACATAATTTGTTTTCAGTCAGATCAGATCTTTAGTTCGTCTGGGCATAAATTCACAAATAGTTCAAATGTTCTTTAAACTTTTATATGTTTGATTGCAAATCATTGTCGCGAGCATCCACAGGGAGGGTTGTCTCTTTTCATTGTAGAAGTCAGGTGACTCAGTGGTGAGGGTAAAATACCTTTAGGGAAGAAAAAGAAGAAACTTAGTGATTTAATTAGCAGAGATGATCCAGTCTATCCTGTAGTTATGAGTTACCTTAACTTTAGTGTGTCGAAGGACGGGGAAGGATTCCTCCACCAGGTTACAGCCGAGGGGCTCTTTGTTCTGACAGTCTGAGCTGAAGCCATCATTGAGGCTCGCCGTGCCTGCTGAGGTGGTGTTATAGCCGCTATCCACCTAAAAAACATAAACAATGGTTATAAACACACCGATATCAAAAATAAACTAGATTAATTCTGACAAGTTAAAAAACAAGGCAAAGATGCACTATAATGTTGGTTTTCCTCACAAACCTGAATGCTGGAATCACAGCGAATGCTGCTTCCTTCTGCCAGAAGAGACACAAACATCTGACAGCTTTCTGCTGCAGACACGCTCCCCATACGAGAGCTTGTCAGTTGTTCTGAAGGCCCTCCATCTTCCTCCTCTTCTGCCAAACTTTTGTCTCCTTTGATCTCCTCAACCTCTTCCATTTCCACAGCTTCCATCGGGTCCACACCAACAGTAGCAGCAGGGGGAGTATCCAGGGTCGGAGGCGATGTTGGACCAAGTTCTATTAAGGGGTGAGACGATGAGGAAGTTGAAGGAGGGTGTTCTTCACCCTCCTGATTGTCCTGGAGCTTTGGGTTCAGAATCTGCGAGATGAGGGGAGGGGAGGCCCAGTAGCGGATTCTGGGTCTGGGTTTTGAGGTGTACTGTTGCTCATTTTGGTGGTGAAGCTGATGTGGGGAGAAGCTCCGAATCGGAGAGCAGCCTTCAACATAAGGACTCTCGTTACAGGGAGCGGCGTCGATCTCCTGCGAGGTTCTGTGAGGGGTCAAACGGCTGTGCTGTTTCTGCCCACCTGAAAAGATTCACTTTTTTTAGGTTAAAATCATTTTAGTATTTTTTTTTAAAAGAAAAATCGATTCTGAATTATATTAAAATCAGAAGGTCTACCTGAGCCTATGGGAGTGCGTGCTGCATGGACAAATATTGGAGAAACTGTTGGGGAGGTGAGACCAGCTGGAGATGACCTATCAGGGAACAGAGGACTGCTGATGCTGCCCAGGCTGCAATCTCGGAAACCACCTTGCTGGATGGGGCTAGATGAAAACTGACCCTATGAATAAAACAATAATAAACATTCACTTGTTCCTCAAAAACACAAAGAGCATTTTAAAGGTGCATGATGTGGACATCATAGAGTCAAATTGGGGTACTGCAGCCCAGGTATCAAAACAAACAGGTTCGCTCTGAGCAGCTGTTGCCAGTTGTGGATCTGTGCCAGAAGATTCTAGATGACAAGTGAAGATGACTCATGCACAATAGGTTGATAAATACATTTTACAGTAACATTGAGTTGTTGGTTATTGAAATAAAAAGATATTTTAGAGTCAACTATTTTTTTCCCCTAATTCACTGTTAGCATTGTTAACTTAACATTAGCATTTAGCATTCATTACCTCATATTAGAGTAAAACTAAAAGATGTAGCTTTTTAGAAGGTACAAGAAATAACTTCTGGGTCGCTCCTTTAACTGGGTACCAATATTTCCAAGATGCTGCTGCTCTTTGCTGGCCGGTGTCAAATTACAAATGCCAGCACTGACTTGGAAAATCCTGCGGGCTCAAATATGATTGGCTCTGGAACCAGGAAGTATGGAGGTGGGACATATTGTAAACAATGACTACTTTGGCCTACTTTGGTGTTTCAATGTAACCTTCCTTCCAACACGATGGAGACATTAGACAGTTTTGTGATTACTTTGTCTTACTTGTACTACCTTTAATTCATCTGTGGCGGTGCGGGAGGGTGAGGCTCTGGGGGAGGAGTCAGCAGCGAAAACAACAGCAGCAGAGACCGCCGCAAGAGCATCAAGATGAGGAGCAACAGCTGCTGCAGATTAACAACCAGGCTTGCCTTCTACTTGACAGGACATGGAAGCGGGAGGCGGGCCCTGACAGTAAGAGTGACTGCGAGAGACTGGCAGCAAGACGCAGCACAGAGACTGTGACAATAAAAAGCTTGTGAACTGAAACAGCTGGTGTGATGCAGCTCTGTGTGCGTGACCTGCAGTTAACAGTCATTACACCATCCATCCATTTTCTACCACTTATTTGGGGTCAGGTGACGAGTCGCAGAGGCAGCAGCCTAAGCAGGGAGGCCCAAACTTCCCTCTCCCCAGCCACCTGGGCCAGCTCCTCCAGGGGAATCCCAAGGGATTCCAGCCAAAAGACACAGTCCCTCCAGTGTGTCCTGGGTCTTCCTTTGGGTTTCCTCCCAGTTGGACATGCCCAAAAAACCTCACCAGGAAGGCGTCCTAACCAGATGCCTGATGCACCTCAACTGGCTCATCTTAACGTGGGAGGGCAGCAGATCTACTCCAAGCCCTTCCCGGATGACCAAGCAACTCACCCTACCCCCGAGGGAGAGCCCAGCACCCTGTTCTACCTTTAATCTCTTATTAAAAATGATAAATTATAGCAAAATGCAGTAGTGAAGTTTAGTTATGACTTATGGGTAAAACTAAAACCTGAGAGATTAATTAAAAATTTACATAACAGAAACTAATGTTTGGTCATTAGGGATTCCCAATTACTTCTGAACGTCCTAATCATATATATTTTTAGAAGAGGATCTAAAAACATTTCTGGTAACAAAATCAATAACCGACCACACACACCGTAGAGGGAGTCTGGGCCGGCACGCCACAGGACAAAGGAGAGGAAAAGACATCATGACATTCAGGTCTTGTTACGGCTCTTTCTCTGTGTGGAGATCGTTTTTTGGGTCCAGCATGGGCTCTCTCTGGACTCGGTGGATTGGAGCCGTCGGAGCTGCTGTAACTGAAATGGCCATCAAGGAAGAGTTTTCGTCTCAAGGAGGAGGAACTGAGGCTCTCCTGGACTGCATCACCCGCTTCCTCGTAACGGTAATGTTCTCCTGAAAAGTACAAAGGCAGTGATGAAAATATTCAGCCAGAGGAAAATCAGATTTTGCTGACATTCAGCAGAAGCTCACCAAGTAATTTCTCCAAATCGAACCCCAAAGGTAGAGACAGGGCCGTCTGGCAAGCAACTGGAAACCAGATAAAATAAATATTGAGGAATCTTTGGTTTCGAGAATCAATGTGTACATAAATATGTAACAGTATATTTTTGTGACAAACATGTACAGGTTTGTGTTCATAAGAAGAAAGATCATCCACTTCTATAAAAAAGAACACCAACCCGAGACTGTTTTTGTCGCCTCTGAAATTGTTGCAGACCCTGGGCCTAAATGTCAAAAGACAAAAGCAGAATAAAATAAACCAGCACGGATTAAAATGTGCAAAGTCCAGGTAAATCTAAATTTAAGACTTAAACAGTAATATAAACAATAAAATAACACACTTTTATTGTACAGGTGAGGGGCTCTGCGGGTTTCTGGTGCTGCCCAGGGGGAAGGCACAATGGCTCCTTTTGTGAAAAACTTTATTGGAAGAAATCAAGCAACACATAATCAAAATAAAAGCTTATTTATGTTTACAAAACCAGAATAAGTTAGATTAATTCAATACCTGCTCAATAGCACTCTGACATTTTTCCTCAATGTCAGAATCAATCCTGAAATAAAGAAGAGCCGAGTTTTATTAATTAATTTCTGAAAGTCTTTCTTTTTCCCTGTCATTGTGCGATGGATTGAGTTGCATCAGTCAACGGTGCTTCCTTTAGGAATTTTAGTTTCAAACACACACCTTGTCTGGCTGAGGTAGAGAGATTGTCGCTGGATTTCCTCTGGGTCTATGTGCACTGGGAGAAGACTGGCCATTTCATCAATAGACCAGTTAAACTTAGAGGGAGTCTGCGGAAGAGACAGGAAATACATGAAGTCTATGTAAAGTTAAATGTTCAGGATTACGAAAATTTCTATGAAAAAAAATCACCCCTAACTTTGTATAAGTTATAATAAATAATAAAAATTGTATTATAACCCCAACAATAAGTTGATCATCTTCCAAATGATTGATCACAACCATTGTAAAAGGTTACAGGTTTGCTTATTTTTTCCATTTGGACGCCTACTATGAAGAATTAACGAACATTTCAAATTTTTTCACAGACATCCTGATAAATGTGGATCTGTTTTGTGTTCAGACTTACAGCCTTGCACGTCTTTGACTTGAAGACAGAGGGACTCGGAACCAGGGGTTCCCGCAGATGGTGGTAGTCGTTAGGACTCTCGAAGGGGTTCCTTATGGAAGACCTGCCTGGAGTTTCTGGTGTGATCTGGAGCTGAATGTGGTCCCCCATCTAGCCTAAAGTCGAGATAAAAAAGAAAACACTTCAAATGCAGAATTAACGAGGCGAAAATCGATCAAGTCAACAGTTGTTGTCATTCATGTGATGTTAAGTTCGGTACGTTAGCTAAAAGAAAGGAAGCGGTCCACTCGCCATTTGTACTTACAACTCTGAAGATGCTCGAATAATTCTGATCGAAATATGTGGAACAGGTCGGGGAGAAACATACAAACAGAAACAATTCAAACATCAATTTCAATTTCTCCTCCTATGCCCGCAAGCCAATAGAAACGTTGCAGGAAGTGACGATTTTAACGTTATTTCCGCTGCCAGTTTTGACCGACGTGAGAATTTTGGTGAGGTTGTTAGATATGTGCTAATGTGGCTTACATGTTGTTTGCCCGTTTCTAATGATCGTGTTCTGTGACATATAAATACGTTAGCCATTATTATTATAATCAAGTTATTGTTAACTCGTGACGTCAGAGACACGCTGTTGGTTAGCCACTTCTCTTGCTAGGAAGCGTTAGCTAACCATCGTTTTATCACCATGGCAAGTGCAGCAAATGCAAACCTAAACGCAGTCCGGGAGACAATGGATGGTGAGTGTTTATTTGGCACGTAAGTGGCAGAACATGTAGTTTTAAAATACCTTCACAAACGTAAAAGCGCACATGCTTTGTAGCTAACTTCTAACCTTGTCACAGCAATAACATGTTTCATTATTGTTCTCGTTTAACAGTCTTGCTTGAGATCTCCAGGTTGTTGAACACTGGTTTGGACATGGAGTCTCTGTCCATATGTGTGAGACTATGTGAGCAAGGGATCAATCCTGAAGCCTTGTCTGCAGTCATCAAAGAGCTGCGGAGAGCTTCAGAGTCTTTCAAGGTACACAATTATTATGCATATTATTATTATGCAAGTTGCTAGAGTTCTGTTTGGAGCTTGGAGCATCTTCAGTGTTTCCCAAGAACACATTCATTTGCAGACTTGCTAAAAATGTCAACTTGTTAATTGATGGACAACTATATTTATTGTTATTCTTTCAGGCTTCTGAGAACTGCACAAACTGAAGACAGAAGACAGACCTCAAATGTTTGAAACACTCATCGGGATCATGCTCTGATCTGTTTTGGCACTTTTTTTTCTGTGACTTCTGCGCTGTCCTGTTCTGTACTTAATACATCTTTGGCCTGTGTTCGGGGCTCTCTGTAAAAATAGCACCATCTGTCTTATTTTGAACATAAGTCACATGCTTAAAGTGATGTATGCTCAGTCCATCCAATTTCATATTTAGCCATACTCCTGACATGCTTTTGGATGCGGTGCGATGCTTAGTCAGCAATGATATCTTGCTGTAGTAATAATTTTTAAAAGGAGAAATTTAATTTTCTATTCCCTTTTGTCCAACTTCTATGGTTTTTCTTGTGTATATAGTTAGTCATTTAATTGAGTTTTTTAAATAATATTTAATTTTACTTATGAAACTGGGTTTTTGTTGTTTCACTAATTTGTCTAAAATAAACTTGTCAAAGGTGGCCACTAGGTGGTGGTGTGTGTTTCTATTCAATGAAGTTAACGGGTGTTGTCTGAATAAATCAAGCAGTTATAACTTTCCAGTTTTCCTGAGAAAAGTTTATCTAATAAAGAAATGTATAGTTTGATAAAATGTGTGTTGTGGGTGTTTAGACTGCAAAGTTAATAAAAAGTAGTGATTTGCTAAAAGGACACGATCTTTCCTGTCAGACTAGGTGAAATAATGAGCAGAATGGTACACTTTATAATAAACAGCCAATTGTTGAATAAACACAGCTAACAATACTTCACAACAAAGGAGATCTGAGCAAAGGTCACTTAACAGTAGGATGTCCTGTTGATCTAAAGTCTTTTTTCTCATGTGTCTGAATTTGTTCCACAACATTTTGAGATATAGTGCAAGACTTGACAAAAACACATCTTTGATCTACTTGTGGGGAACGGGGGCTTGATCATACGTCTAACCAGGCAGCATTATTTTGTTTCTCTGCAGTCTGTAACAAAACTATTCATCTCCCAGACAAAGAAGAAAAATGCTGAGAGCACAGAATGTTTACAGGCCAGTAAATGGGCTAGAAGTGCCCTGTTCTCAACACTTGCTTGTATGCACCTCTAGGTTTTTAGGTTCACGTGAACGTTAGACGTCTACAAATGAGTAGCCCGCAAGCCAACTGACAGTAATGCCTCACCCCTCACAGGCACATCACAGAAAAAACAGCACAGGAGTGTGAGTGTAAGCATTTCTGTCTTCGACTGCTTTGTCTCACCATCTTGACTGACGGACTGTGATTCTAAATCCCTGCAATGCTTCTTTGATCTTTAACACAGTATCTCTGTGTTCCTGAAAGCCAGCATCATGTTAGCCAGACACGAGAGACATTCAGATTTGGTGCAGTGGCTTTTTCTTGATAGTTCCCCTGGTCTTGGTGGGGGGTGAGCAGCGTGAGATGTTGATGGAAGCAGACGCACAACAAAAATTATTTTCTTTTAGGAAGGAAAAAGTTATGCATGGCTTGATTGGCTACTAAGGGTGTGGGATTCAGGATGCATTTCTCTCTGTTTGATCTGGGTGGAGGGTTTCTTCTCATCCAAACTGGCTACTTTGATCTTTGTTAAACAAAATATTCCCAAATCCCATAGTCCTAACTGAGATTAGCGTCCATATATGCATAAACATCTAAGAGGTGTTCAACTAGGGCACTGGTCAGGTCACATGACTATCAACATAATAGGCAAGCAGGTGCTCACATCTAAATTTCTAAAGGTGTTTATATTTGTATGTCTGATAATTATCCAGGACGGCAATTTTTTTCTTTTTAAATAAATGAGGGCATTCTCTTTTAAGAGTGAAAGATCTCTCTGCAGCAATTATAACTGAGGTGTATGCCATCATTAGGATAACAATTATACTGCACTGATTAGAGGTTCCTTATATATAAGGAACAGAAGGATGGTCTGTTTATATTTTTCCAAACTTAAATTACAATTTTACTGTCCTGCAAAAACAAATAAAAATTATAAATTAATTTGATGCAGAGTGAAACAAAAAAGCCAAAGATCTCTGTGTGTGTGTGTGCTTGTATTTGGGTCATTAATTACTTTTACCAATAAACAAGTGGATTTAATGGTCTCCCTGCAGAGACAAAACTTTGTCTGTTTAAGGTGTTAGTGCTCATTATTTGATCATTTAATGTCATGTTGGGAAACTAGGACAGGACACTCATGAGTTAGGGTAGACTAATTCATAATGGAACCAGTAACAACCAGTAACCCCACAGGGTATGTGTGTGCAATAGATGTTACAAACTAGGGTCACTTCAAAATAAAACATCCAAACTGATGAAGGAATAACATTATTGATGTAATGACTAGAGAAAACCAGAAAAGCAACGCGTCATTTAAGGATGTAAGAAAATATCGACGCACTGAAATATTGCAATATTTTGCATTGATACTGAATCAATATTTAAAAGCAGTTTATCAATTTTCTGTTGAGAATTTACATAAAAACATTCACTGTGTTTATTTTGTATGGTGCAATTCTGCTAGGAGGCAGCAGTTTTTATCGCTTTCATTCTTGTGATAACAGTGAATGTGTCGGAAGCATGTGACATGAGTTTTCCCATTAAATTCAGTTTAAAAAATTATAAATATCGTCCGGCTTTTTAGATCGCAATATATCGTATCGTCTCAACTCTATTGTGATCAGGGGCGGTCCTAGACCATTTTGCGCCCTAGGCGCTGTGGCTCCAGGGTCTGATCAGAACAAGACAGTAGGATTGAAGAGAGGTGAATGAGAATGTCACTGGCTTGGTTCATTAAATAGGGTGATCTCTTAGTATTATTTCTGGATACAGATATAAATTAACGATGTGCTTTTTTAATTGGGTGAATTGGTGGTGTGAGCACAGTTTGGCGCCCCCTTATGGATGGCAGCCTAGGTGTCTGCCTAGGTCACCAGCTGAATGGCCCGCCATTAACTGTCTGTTATACATTTTGGGCAATGGTTGCAGAGGATTTAAGTGTCTCCGTCTGCAGCAGCAAGCCATGTTACGCACCTTGTCTGCTGGTGGTGGCCGGAGGGACCGGTGGCACCAGCGTACAGCAGCCTTTCTTTTGTCAGTGCACCCCAGGGCAGGTGTGGCTACCACTGTAGCTTATCACAACCAGAGTGTGAATGTGTGTGTGAATCCATGAATGTCTGTTTGTACTGTAAATCGTTTTGGGGGGTTGTAGGCCCCTAGAAGGCGCTATTTCAAATGCAGACCATTTACCATTTTTATCGTATTGCCAGATTATTTCCAGTACACAACCTTGGCGTCATTACTGCCTTTCAAGAATGGGTACCAAAGATCACAAAAAGGTTATACATGGACTTTCTAAACAAAACAAGAAATCACTTGAAATCAAATCACTGTCACGGTCTGGGGGTGTCATCTTTCTCTGATTTACTTTTTGAGCTTCCTTTCCTCTGCAGGTGGGCGTGTCCGGTTGTGGGGGAGTTGCTAGCAGCTGCAAGCAATCCACTCATCACCTGCCAGGGGATATTTAAGCACCTGAGAGGCGGCTTCACTTTGCTGGATGATTAACTCTACTTGGACATCCTGTTACAATAACTACCTGGTCAACCTGCCATTCGCCTCTCAGCGTCCTCCCATGGTCTCCCCCACGCCGGCTCCCCACCTTCCTCCTGGATCTCCTGCTCAGTAATTGCTCAGCTCCCTCCTCGCCTGGACTCTCAGCTTCCTCTAACTCAGTAAGCCATCTGCTTCACCCCCAGACCAGACAACCAACCTCTCCCGAACATTCTAACTGAACCTTCAGACCGTAAGTCTTAACTGATCCATTATTCCCATTTTTCTGCAACCAGTCCTGACATTTTTTCGTCCTTCAGACTCCCCCCACCGGATCCCAGCAGTCCAGCCTGACATTTTGTTCCTGCAATTTCTCCTTTATAATAAATCATTATTTAACTCTAATTCTGACTTGTGGATTGATTCTGTATGTCGTGGGTTAGGCATATACCACCGACCATGACAGAATCATCCAGCCAACAACCTAACCTCAGTACAGAATCTGTTGCTGAGACTTTGTCACAACACAGTTTGACCCTGCAATCCCTGTCTGAACAACTATTCAGTACTAACCAAGCTCTGTCTCAATTAGGCGCTATGATGAAACAACTAAACGATCAACTCACCCGCCCGGAACCCTCTGTTCCCGTAGCTCCGACCCCGCCCGGACCCACTTCACCGGTACCATCCGGCCCATCCAACTTCCGGGTCGCCTTGTCTCCTCCACCGGAGACATTCGACGGAGATCGGAGCTCATGTAGAGGCTTTCTCCTCCAATGCAGCTTGGCGTTCCAACGCTCCCCGGAGTCTTTTGTTACAGACGCAGCTAAGATATCTTACATAATGGGGTTGCTGCGCGGCAGGGCTCTCAGATGGGCGGAAGCCAGGAGCCGTTCCCCGACCTTTCTCACAGGTATGTTTTCTGAGTTCATTTCCGAGTTCAACCTGACGTTTGATAAATCTGAGCCCGCTTCTGAGATAGCCAAACGGCTTTGGAGCCTCCGCCAAGGGAGGCAACATGTGTCTGACTTTGCCATTGAGTTCAGGACCCTGGCCTCCGCATCCACCCTTGATGAGGAATCCTTAAAGGGAGCGTTCTCACAGGCCCTAAACGAGCGCCTCCAGGACCAACTGGCGTACTGCCAGGAGCCAGAGACTCTAGAGGCTCTTATAGCACTCTGCAACCGGATTGAGAGGAGGTTAAACGACCGGCATAGAGGTAACCACTCATACCTTACCCCATCTCCACACACTCAGCTCCGGGTTGCTCAGCCGGCACCGCCCTCACCACCCAGCGAACCCATGCAGTTGGGTCGGGCAAAACTAACCCCAGAAGAACGCAATCAGAGGATGAGGTCTGGTCTTTGTTTATATTGCGGCCTAGCCGGCCATTTTGTCTCTACCTGCTCCAAGGCTTTAAACTCCAGGGCCCACCAGTAGGACCTAGAATTCTGGTGGGCGGCTCATCTGATCTAGCTATTTCCCGTTGTGCCCTAGACTGTTCCTTAACATACGAGCACTCCTCCTTAGCCACTCAGGCGTTGATAGATTCTGGGTGTGAGCAAAACCTACTTGACCCTAAGATCATAAAACAGCTCAGCATCTCCATCATCCCTCTTGAGGTTCCAACCAGGGTGGTCTCTCTGGACGGTAGCCATCTTACTTCTATAACCCACATGACGGTCCCTGTTCGTCTCTCTGTTTCTGGAAATCACCATGAATCTTTAACCTTTTTTGTTTTTCCCTGCCATCAGTCACCCATCGTCCTGGGGCATCCGTGGTTAAGGCTCCACAACCCCCGCGTAAACTGGGTTTCTAACGTAGTGGAGGAGTGGAGTGATCAATGCCATGTCACCTGTTTGGGCTCAGCTAGAACCCGTCCCATCCTCAAGGCTCCAGCTCTCCCACCACCGGACCTCACCGGCGTT